ACCACCCCATCCTGTTTGTCGCCTCTTACGACGACATCCAGCCATCTGTAGTTGCACGGACAGATAGCAAGTAGTTAACTTCAGTGTATTATATTTGAAGCCACGCCAATATATTTAAAAAAAAGAAGGTACATTTGTTTCTTTGGACTTTCTTAAAAAGTGATTTATAATGCAGTTTCATGTTTTATTTTGTTCCTTCCATATTATCTAAAACATGACATTTAGCAAAAGACTATTTGCCTTTGGAGGATGTTGGCTGCGAAGATGATGATATTATGTGATACTGGCATTTTATAAACCTCTGGGAGTTAAACTGCTCAGGTTCCAATTATTTTTCAAGGTGTCTGTTTCATGAACGTCAGTAAAGTATCCCAGTGTTATTTAGAGTATGGGCTATGTGTTTGTATTTTGTGTCAACATATCACTTCAGGGCCATACAGTTTGTTTGTTGTTTAACGCCGCACTCAGCAATATTCCAGCTATATGACAGCGGTCTGTAAATAATCGAGTCTGGACTAGACAATCCAGTGATTGACACCATGGCCATACAGTCCAGAAGCAGAGCCAGGAGGCATCTTTCAGGGTGGACAATTTACAGCGTATTATGATTTGTGGTGTTTGATATGGCAAATGCCTGTTTTCTACAAGTTTAATATGAACTGGGTCTTGTTTGCAAGTCAATGCACTCTTGTCTCAGGTATTTTGCACTTGCTCAAATGTTAGTGTGCATCAGAGTGGTAGGAGTTGTGTTTGGCGGCTCTCAATTTAGAATCAATGAAGATATTGTCATTAATCCTTTTTGTTTGTTTGTTTGTTGTTCAACGCAGCACTCTGCAATATTCCAGCTATATGACGGCGGTCTGTAAATAATCGAGTCTGGACCAGACAATCCAGTGATTGACATCATGAGCATCTATCCACGTAATTGGGATACGATGGCATGCATGAACCAAGTCAGCGAGCCTGACCACCCGATCCCGTGAGTCGCTTCTCACGACAAGCATGGTCGCCTTTCATCGCATGGGTTGCTGAAGACTTATTCTACCCCGAATCATTCATTCATTAAAATATGAGGTGTACACATACTTACAATAAAAGATTTAGCAGGAACACTGAGTCTGCCTTGAGAAGCATGTGTAATGCAGCAACTATGTGGCAAGTGTCAGGCAAGTGCTTTCTACCCTCTCACAAGGTATGCAGTCTCAGTGTGAGTGGGTACCCGGTAGGAAGAATTGACAATTAGCATAAGGGGTTTATCAAAACTGATATCGCGCTCAGATCTACAGCAAACATCATTAAACAAATCCCAAACTTGACGTCACCCGGGTTATTATGGTTGTGACTTATGTAGTAGTCGTCAGAGGTGACTTAATACTTCACGGAATAACACGACCAATGAAGGAGACGCCTCAATACCTAGTTTGACATTAAAGAAATTTGGACTTGGGGGGTTTAATTAATTTACCTGAGGGAACAAGAAAAGTGAAGGATGAAGGAAAATGAACATCACGCTTGTGTTAGGAAGCAAGGGAAATTGCAATGATCGTAAAAAATCTTGTCAGGAAGTTTGGCTGCCCTATTTGGTAAGGGGATGTCTCTCCGGCACTCCTTGGGTCCCCACAAATTAACTAACAGTGAGCTTGTGGGGAGTGTAGTCAACATCTTCAAGAGAAGCGTGCATGTGATAAACGCTCTCACATTTATCTTAAACAACACAACAGGCTTGTTGAGTCAAACAATTGGGATTTCATAGAGTCCTGGATGACTGGTGTCCTGATTAAATTGTCTTTAATGTGCATGAAAACTTTGAACACGAATAACTATTAATTTTATATTTCAATTTAATTTTAACATGTTGTTGTGTAAAATTACTATTGGTGGGAGGCGGGTGGACTTTTGGTGATTTTGTACACGAGTTGTTGGGGGCACTTACAATGTACACACTACTTAGGCCCTTACAATGTACAAATTATGAGCGGTCCCTCAGCGGTACTATTGACTACCTTTCATTTGTCAACACTGTTACACAGACACAAGTATTTGCCCCAAAGAGTCCATGTGACACATAGGGATACTATACACCTGTTCTCGTTAGATACCATTGAGCTCGGGTGGTCAGACTGGCTGACTTCATTGATGCATGTCATCGTATCCCAATTTCGAAGATCGATGCTCATGATATCAATCACTGGATTGTCTGGTCCAGACTCTATTATTTACAGACCGCCGTCATATAGCTGGAATATTGCGAGTGTTGTGTTAAACAAGAACCAAACAAACAAACGAACAACCAGTTCGACATGGATTGATTAATGAGGAACCCCTGGATGAGTTATAAGTCGAGACAGGAATTCCCTGTCTTGTAGGAGCTGTGATCTGTCCTGTCTGGCCCCATGGAGATGGAACAGATGGAGGTGTGCGAAACTGATGACTGGGGCCAATGGGAGTACCTGGAACTCGAAACGGATGCCACTGTCTGCGAATCTGATACGAGGGATGAATTGGTACGCATCCTTGAGTTCGATGCTCAATAGCATTTATCATCCAAAACTGGCTCCCACAGGAGATATCGCTTGGGTGAGATCAAACGATATCTATACTGTAGATATCGCTGCAATGAAATTTCATCACAATGCTTTGCAGACCATTGTGACGTCATTGGTTACCATGACGTCAAAATCAAATGACATCACTAATGGCTCTGCTACTGAAGCTGTTAGCAGTACTTTTTACACTTAAGACACTGCTTATTACTTTCTACAAACTGAAAAAGTTGGAAGAATGATGTTGGATGATAAATAAAATCTCACCCTCGTGTCTTTTGATATCAAATATATCAACACTCGTTGATAAAAGTGGAAAAAAATCCTCGGCAAGCCTCGGAGTTTTCCCACTTTTATCAACTCGTGTTGATATATTTGATATCAAAAGACACTCGGGTGAGATTCTCTATATCTCCTTGACGTAGCGTCGATCGTAATTTGCAGACAGAGATCGGGACCTTCAGTACCTTGAGATCTTTGATCATTTTCTTAATGGCTTTCCCTTTTTTCTTGGCTGCTTCTTTGATGATAATTTGGAGGCCTTCTTGGGCAGGGGAGTTTCGCAGATCTTCAGTGCAAGTGATATCTCTGCACTTCCAGCATGACGTATGTGGATCCCCTGAGACCAAAAAGCGGCCGCACTTCTGACGCCATTACTGAATACGCCATTACTGAAATCACAACGCACCAAAACCCACTGATACTCACGTGAAATTCGCCCACACGATACAACCAATAACAACTTCTAGTAGAATAAATAGTAAACAAACGGACAACTTAAATTGAACGGACAAGAACTAGTGTGACTACATAACCAGAGTGCTAGAGTTGGAGCAGCTACAACCGAGATATTGACTCTAGCACACACAGGAAAAAAGTGAGGAATTTCCCGCCTTTGCACATGGAAGAGCTGTAGTCCAAAGTGATATTATGGCTACAACTAATAATGTTTTGTGGACAGTGAAGAGGATTTCTGTGGAAAATCTGAAAGTTTAGTTTCAGTGTGATTGCAGTCAAAATACAGGATTTATGGCAATGGTGTAATAGAGGTTGAGGATTCGTATGAATTTCTTCTGTTGATGTCCGATATATGCTGGCTGACCCATGTCGATAATTTGTGTTCTGTCTCTCCAACATAAGTCAATCCACAAACGCCATTTATGACGTTTTGTGAAGTATGTTTTACCTGTAAAGTTAGATTTTCATTAAGGATCAGTTATCAAAATGGGACAGGTTTTGCATATTTTTGGCGTGTCACATAAAAGAGGGGTTAGAATGAAATATATCCTCCCAACTTTTTTTCAACATTTATTAATGATGTAAATAAATCGTCGTTTTTTAAATAGAAGTTGCCTTCACGTTGAACACAGATCGATAACAATTCCACTTCCGGTTGAGTTTTCAGTGTTGTTGTGACTTTCAGTGCTGTGTCCTCCATCTTAAAGGGTCAAAAGGCTCCGGCTTTCACTTAGCTGTCCAACACTGATTGGCTGCAACGAGTTGATTTGCTGATTAACGCAAATGTGCGAGACAAGAGACTGAGCAACCGCCTGTGAGGGCAGTGGAAATAAACTTTTAGGCAATGTCTATAGATACAAATGTCTAAACACTGATTGGTTACCTATGATCTATGAAGAGTTTGATATTACAAAGGGCACATGTTAATATTTTTTTGAAACCTAAACAATGAGACTGAAAGGACGATGAAAGCTCATCGAATGTCTTTATTTGGAAATCTCCCCTGATGATTATAGTTGGATTAAAAGAAGTATCCCACAATGAAAGCACATTCAGATTTCTGATAGTGTGGATGACAAGATGACTCAGATTGATTTGGTTTCCCATTTCTGTGTTTCACAGCTTTGATATTTAATCATGTCATGTCAAAGACCTATAATATCAAAAATAAACATTTGATTTATTTGAGGCCCATTTTGCCATTGCATGGTTGACCCTGAAGTTCCTTCGTTAGAATTGGTCTTCAGCAACCCAAGCTTGTCATAAGAGGTGACTAATGGGATCGGGTGGTCAGGCTACTGGCTTGGTTGATGCATATCATCAATGAATTGTCTGGTCCAGACTTTATTATTTACAGACCGCCGTCATACAGCTGCAACATTGCAGAGTGTGGCGTTAAACAACAAAGTAAGAAAGAAAAAAACTTTGATGTAAGCTACAGCACTGGTACTGTATTGATAAACCAAGAAAAACCTGAAGATGACATTATTAAAAGAAACATAATGCTAGCCACAAGCATTTGTAAACAAATAATCTGGACCATCAGCCTTTGGGGAATTGTAGCTGATTCACAGCACACCGTCAAGTATTTCATATCATCATATCATATGCATCAATGTCAATGAGCACTAAACAGTTTAACAACAATTTATCTTATGAATCATAACTTCAAATGGAATAATTCAATTCATTCGCCCCTAAAAATGACAAACAACTTAATCTCATAAAGACCTTTTATTTGCAACAACCTTTCTTCAAATCATGACAACATCACAAGTTGAATAAGCCAATCAAATGTAGTTACCATGCATGTTCAAGAAATCTGGTTTTTATCAACAAAATCCAAAAATTAAGTCTTCAGGACAAGCTAAAGACGGCTTATCATTTCAATTTAGACAAACCATAATAATAATAATAATAATAATAATAATAGCATTGAGTCTGTGAAGTGGAATATATAGTTCATGTTCATAGCTCACCTGAATGTTTCTGGAATATCATAAACCAGAAGGTCTAACAAGGCTAAAGAGGAAAATGCAACAAAAATAACAGAAGTGTCTACACAACAGACATACTCAGTGCATATTACTTAATTAGACAATGATACATGCGTAAATGGCTATGAAGAGGGCCAAAATTACAGATTTATCATGATTGCCCTGGCACTGATAGTAGCCATAAGGTTAAAGTTGTGCCCAGTATAACAATACACAGCACAACACAATGTGTTATAAGACACAACATAAAGTATGTACCATCATGACGATACATGCAGAAATGGCTGAGCAACAGATACAAATGACATTTTTTATATGATGGCTATAGTGGCCATGTTTATAATAGGATTGGACTTTGTTACATGCTGGTCTGACATTCATGCAATTTTAGCATCCTTAACCCAAAGGTTTCACCAGTGTTTTTGAAAAGGCAGAAAACCGAGATAAACTGTATGTAAACTAGATAAACCATATGGGTAATTTAATGGTTAGGGTCCATAACTTGGACAAAAAATCCAAATACTCCAAAAGAAAATGTTACTCTGCACAGCACAAACTTACAGCATATCAAATTTCAGAATGATACATGCAGGAAAGGCTTGGTAAGTGTGAGTGAGTGAGTGAGTTAGTTTAACTCTGCTTTGAACATTATTCTAGATATATCAAGGCATGCCAAGTGAGAGTGCCATGGCACTGTAGCTCACCTGGAAATGTAGTCAACAGATACAAATATCAACAAAGACAGCCCCTTAACAAAAGTTGCTTTCAGTGGCCATATTGAAAAGAAGATTCTAATATCTTGTACAAATTGGAGTGAGATCTTTGGATGTGAATTTTCAGCTTTATTGGTCACCTGGTTTCTGAGATGATGATGATGTTAACAGTGCAAAGAAATGCATTTGGAGAGAATTTAGGAGAAAAGTGCAAAGGCCAAAGCAAGGTCAAAATCTTAAAATGACAACAACAAAACAGAACATGTGTCCTACACATCTTCATAAAGCTTAAGTTCTGTATCTAGACCTTGTCAGTTTCTAAGAAGATACTTAAAGATTTTCTAAAGTTAGCGTTTTTACTATTTTTCGTAGGTTACTTGCATGAACGTATGTGAATGTCATTGTATTACTACACTTTACATCCATGATTCAGATTACTGGTACCACCTCAGAAGAAAATTCTTGAAGACATTTAAAAATTGATTTTCTTTATTTCTAACAAAGCAAACAAAAATTAAAAGTCAATGGACTGATGACAAATGGGCAGACATATGAGCTCATTTGGATGTTTGGTCCTGTCAAGCCAAACATCAATATCAATGCTATTAAATGAATGACAGATGAAATGTATATACAATGGATGTATGTATTCCTAGCTGAGATAACAATATAAACACAATAAGCACAAATCATATGATTTAGGTTTTTAAGCTTTCTTTACCTTTATTGAACCTCATAATCATAATGCTCATAGGTGTGCAAAAATATTATGTTTTGACAACTTTCTGACACACCTAACAGTCTATCCACAACACTAAATGCAAGAAATGCATTAATATATTTAGGCTAAGCATGTTGAAAGGTTCATAAAAAGTGTAGGCAAGTGACAACCAACACTAGTCAGCCTCATATTCATCGAGTACCTCAAAGTCACTATCCATGTGCACGCTTTCACCGCTACCATCGCTGCCAATATCTGAAACAAAGGAGAAAGATGACTACATCACAATCTGTTAACATTTTCCAGTTTCCTACATAGTAAATGAAATCATGTAAACTTATCTTAAAACTAAAAGTGTGACTTCAGATATGACATGTTTTTACTGACATTATTTCACACTAAACTCAGTATAGATTCATTTCAGGAATGAATATGATTTTTTGGTTCATCTATTGCATATCTCCATATGATTCACCTAAAGATCAGATCTGTCTGCAAAACAAAGATATAAGGACATCCCATGAATTCTAAGAATAACCTTTTGTGAACTTTGATTAACCAGTGAGATGACTGACAAGAAGTCGACATTAGCCAATCAGCATGGATCTTTCTCGAGCTATACAGCACTAGTTTCAAACTGTCCACTTCCACTCCAGACACCCCTTAGAAAAATATTTTGACAAAGTTCTTGATTCAAAATTTGAAAACGGAACAAAAGAACATTTTTATTTCTAGAAGGACTAACAGGTGGCCTAGATTGTATGGCAGTACTTCCCACGGGCTATGTAAAGTCTCTTTCGTTCAAATGTTCACCCTGTATCTGTCATTCAGTATTCTTCGCGTTAAAGTGCAAGTCTCATGGATATATATAACTTTGCAGATTTGGATAGATCATAACACCATAAATGCAAGTATCGTATTAAAAAAAATGAAAGCGGCGCATAAATAAGGTTCATTTGTACTTTTGTCCTCTCTATCAATTTTGAAAGCTGAATCAAAGATACAGCGGAGGTGGAGCCTTTATATACAGAGGCTCCATATACGGTCTTGTTAGATAAAATTACCTCCAATATTACACGTTTGATCGCACAATCTACCTACAAAATTACATGCTTGATCCCACAACACCCTAACAGTCAAGCCTGCTCCATTCACTGTCATGGTCGGCTGCACACGTTCTGGGCAAATACATTCTCCTATCCCCAAGTAAACAATGATCATTAATTTTGTACACTCTACTTTCTATTTATTAGCATGATTAAAGGATTGAAATATACTCCTCTTTCTTTCAACAAACAGAAATGTGACAAAGGCCATTTACATCACAAATTGAATTTACTATTTGGTGAGTAAACAACATGCAAAACACTATTTCTTGAATTGTGTTTATTGTTCGCGTTTCATTACTTTCATTTATTTTGTTGTGAGACTTTTCTATGTAAAATATTTGCTGATCTGTGCAGCAAATGATGAAGCATCAATTGTACTTAATTAATGGTATGTCCAACTCGGACAGTGACAATAGTTTTTGTGTAATAATGGAATGTGAATGTTTCACAGAAGATGAATTGGTGTTTTCCCTACCTGTGACAGACAATAGTGACACAAATAATCAGGATGATCCCAATATTGAACGCATGGTTTACAAGTGATTGCAAAACACAGATTGGTTCATTTGTTAAGTATATTTTCTCCAAATCACAATATCCCATTGTAGTCTCGAAATAGCACTGTGAATCCATGTCAATTGCTGACGACTAGCTTATTCAGCAGGCTATTACTAATATCTATCATTATACTAATATCTATCATTATACTAATATCTATCATTATACTAATATCTATCAATCTGTTTGTCTGTAAGGAGCAACAACATAACCATAAGAGTACAGAATTAATTTGCAAGCAGAAAAGTGATTTTAATTTACCTTCAACATCTGTAACCGTGTTACTTCCAGTTGCTTTGGATGACACCACTGCAGGCTCTCCTGGACAAATATCTGAACTGTCAATCAAATCAACCGTAGAATCTTCAGTTGTCATTTCCATTTCTTCCTCAAAATCCTTCGCAACGACTGGGATCTCAGCATCAAGGCAACTAGTGTGCTCTGAAGTATCTTCTTTGAGCAGCTCAGACACTTGTGGCTGGTCGACAATGATGTCAGTATCCTTTTGCAGATCAGCTGAAACCGTTATCTGTTCATCGACAGTGCTTTCTTCGGGAGGTAGTGTGTCATCTACATTTTCTTGAACATCACTCACTTCAGAAACATTTTCATTTTCATTCACTGTCAGATTTTCTACAGCTTCTGTACTGTCTGCAACTTCAGAACTTTTCTCTGTATCTTTTTCACAGGTGGGGATTCCCTCAACTTCAGCTGACAGAGAGATCTGCTCATGACTCGGTGTATCATCAGCAACAACAGCAATGCTGCTGTCCATCTTCATGTCATCTTGGCAGCTAGCTGCATTCAAACTTTCAACATCTAGTTTACTTTCATGTTCTACAACATCCATCGCAGGAGCTAAAATTGGTGCAGTTTCAACCAAATCAACATCAGTATTGGTGCCGTTCTTCTCTGTATCAACCGCTATATCTTTGCTTTCCATAATCATGTCGCTGGACACGTTGGAGATTTCAATAGGTTTCTGAGTATCTTGCGGTTTGGGTTTCTCATTGTCAGGGATTGCTTCACTGGGCAGAGGAGGTGGAGGAGGAATAGGTATGTCATCAAGGTTGATAGTTGATGCACAGTCTCGGCCTGAGGAAGCAGAGTCCTGATAGAAAACACTGTACAATTCTTCAGCAGAGGAAGAGGAAGATGGATGTTTTGGCAGCGACAAATTCTGTGATCTTGGTGGTGGTGGTTTCTTTGCAGCTATAGGCGTTGACAAATCTTCTTCGATACCAAGTAACTTCATGTCACTCTTCGTGTCACTCTTCGTGTCACTCAGTTTCTCACCTTCTTGATTTTTAATTTCATCTGGACTTTTAGGTCTGACACTGCAAGGTTTCTTTACTGTACCTGAACGTAGTTTATACACAGGCAACTTCTTAGTTGTGGGACCTCCTATTGTCAGAAACATGTCAAGTGAGGGAGGCTGAACACTTTCTGTTTTTGTAATGGCTTTCTTCACAGGGACAGCTTCTGACTTACTCTTGGCTCTTAACAACTCCTTTTTGGTAACTGGTGTCCAAGGAGGGAGGATTCGAGGTTGTGGCTTTATCCCAGTTTTTCCGGTAAGTTTTATTGCTATTTTCCCTTTTGTTGTCTCTTCTTGTTTGGTATCTCCAGGATTTTCTTCTTTCTGTGGCTTTGCTTTATCTTCGCAACTGCTTTTATGTTTCGGAGAAATTGGTGTTTCCTTTTCCTCTTGTTTTATCTCTTGCTCACGGCTGTCCAAGTTACTTTTGGATTGTTGTAAATTCTCAACCACATGAGGTACTTCATCCATTTCAATTTGCAGGCTTTTACCTTTTCTAACCTTTACTTTTTCTCCATTCTTTTCCTGTTCTTCTTTCACTTGTGATAAAAAGGCAGTCTTTTCAAGAGTGTATCGTTTCTCGTAAAATTCATTTTGTTGTAGATGATTCTGTAAGAGAAGAGCATGTCAAAATTAAGCATAGTTACACTGATGCATTTGTTACATAAGGACTTCGACCCATGAGGATTCAGGGTAGAATAGGTCTTCAACAACCCATGCTTGCCTTAAAAGGCGACGGTGCTTGTCGTAAGAGGAGACTAACGGGATCGGGTGGTCAGACTCGCTGACTTGGTTCATGCATGTCATCGTTTCCCAACTGCATGGATCGATGCTGATGATGTCAATCACTGGATTGTCTGGTCCAGACTCGATTATTTACAGACCACCATCATATAGCTGGAATATTGCTGAGTGAAGCGTTAAACAACAAACAAACAAACATAAGGATGTCACTTTTATATTCATCTTCTCATGAAACACAACACATAACATATAGGTGACACAGTGTCAGTATACCTGTCCCCTGGGCTACTTGTCTTTCATTCAGGAGTCAGAATGAAAATTTCAGTTTACAGGGCCAAATATAGAGCTTGAAAGAATATCAGCATGGTCAAGACAAAGGTCACAACATATTATTTTGCAATAATTGGAACATACATGTTAAATCCCACAACAAACCAAACAAATACCAGATTTGATTACATTTTGTACAAAAATGGCTGAGTAACTGCCACGAGATGTTTCAGTTTACAATATGGCTGCAGTGCAAAGGTTAAGTGAAGGTAAAATATCAAAGACCTTCAGTCTGGTGAGCTAAAAAGATTAAATTAAAGTACTTTTCAAGCCTTATTACCATGAAATGAGAAGAAACAGTGTTATCAATATCCCCCGCCATGTAGCACATGAGAATGTTGTTTGTTCATATATTAGTGAATGTAAATATTAAAAAAAGAGTACCATAAAGCATTAAGAAGCCTTTACCGACTTTATGTCATCAGGAAAATTATTAAATGTGAAATTAATACACACAAAAGGCCCCTTCTCTGGAAAATATTACTCAATCTTGTAAAAGTTGGTGAGGAATGAGTGAAACAGTGAATGAGTGAGTGAGTTGAGTTTAACGCTGCTTTTTAACATTATTCCAGTTACCGTATTCGACGTAATAAGCGCCCCGCTCTAATAAGCGCCCACGGCAGTATATGCTAATATATTGGATAGTGAACAATCCCAATTAGCACCCCTTACAATTGATCGATGTTCACAAGACTTATTTATTCACGTATAATACACATCCGTGTTATGTGCACCCTTAATTATGGGCAATTAAATTCTAGAAAAATATATCTGTCATACATAAACATTTCAGGCTGTCAGCATAAACCCCGAAATTTATCTTTCAACTTTTTTCACTTTTTTGGGAAAGCCCAAAGTGATGCAGGTCCCAGACGTTAACCACTTCGGTGAAACCCACGAGTATTGGAATGGTGCTGACAAACCTAGACACATAATCGGGGCGAGCCGGTTCGAAACCCACAATCAAAGGTTTCTGGCAGGTCCAAGGGACGCAACTCTGAACAGCGAATCGCGGCACCTTAGACGACTGGGTCATCCATGCCCCCGAAGTCTGTAGAGTGTTTTTGCACCTACTGGGAAAAGTAATTAGTAGTCCATATGTCTGGCAATGGTCACCTGGAGGGGTGATGTAACTCTCTCCAGGCCAACCGACCCTCTTATCAGGATGGTAATCTGAGCATTTCGTGTTACATATTTATTGTTACATGACAGAGATATGGCCCACCCACTTCCTCATCCTTTGCTTAGTGTTATGAAGCAGGGGGAGTGAGATGGTTTTATCGTCACCTTGAACAGTATTTTAGTTATTTCATGGCGTCATAGCTTTATGTGGGAGAAAAGTCTGAGTGTGAAGTCTGAAGTAATGCAGGTCTCAGACGTTCACCGCGTAGGTGAAACCAGTGAGTGTAGCGCTAACAAACTGGAAACATGAAATGGGTGAAGGCGCAAGAGGATGATCAAAGGACAGTAACTTTAAATTGGTCAGAGGTGCATTCACTTTGTGTTATGAGCACCGAAACTAAGAAGCAAATTGCATACTATTGTATCAAATATTCAAACTTCTGTTATTTTGTGTACCAAAAATAAAAGAAATTAACAATACTTCTTACCTCATACTTGGCAAAATGTTCTTCACTCTTGATATGTGATTCTGCACTTGTCACATCTCCACTGAAGATATGACACAGAGAGCAGTAGAAGGCATCTGTACTCATCATGAACTCCACACCTAAACAGAAATCCAAGGACTTATACTAACCCCCCAAAAAGGCATGGCAAGTCTGTTGCATGTAATGCTGCTTTCCATAGTATTTAAGTGATATCATTATGCGTCACCTTAATAAAGGAGCCTATTTTATGCACTAATAAACAAAATACTTTCATTGCAATTATAGCACCCTTGGATAAAGAGCGCAACATAAGTGCCTGCCCAGTGGGCTGTGTAACGGCTATGAATCATATGTTGCTGTAACTAGTTCTGCAAGTGAATAAAACCTGTTTATACCAGATTTCTCCTTGAAATTTGGTAGGAGGAAAAACAACAAGTCAAATCTGACATATACTTGAAAAATAATATCTAGGTAGCCTGGCAGATGACTGAGGACAATTTTCTGTTGCCATCAACCGAAGACCATGCGGTCAAGAAACACAAAAGTGTGCAAAGAAAAACAAAGTCAAGGCATGTAATAGAAGGGAGGTGATGGTTGAAGGGGAGGTAACTCTGATCGTTTCCCTAATGAACAGCCATTCCAAACCAGTCAAACAAGCATGGGGTCCTGTGGTATGGGATTGAAGAGATAGGGAACATGGAATGAATGCGAGCGAGTAAGTGAGTAACCTGAAAAGTTCCACTTTGCCTTGGATGTATTGAAAGAATTCACGTTATTTTAGAAGATAGGCTCCCTGGCTGCATACACAAGTTTTTCATATCAATGCCTAATTGTTTTAATTAAAAAGATCAGACATTTTTATCATGTTAAAGATAAACGCCATCTGTCAGTTATCTATCTGACATCAAGAAAGTTGACAATCAATGGTTGCTGAAGTGAGTGAGTGAGTGAGTATGGTTTTACGCCGCTTTTAGCAATATTCCAGCAATATCACGGCGGGGGACACCAGAAATGGGCTTCACACATTGTACCCATGTCGGAAATCGAACCTGGGTCTTCGGCGTGGCGTGTGAACACTTTAACCGCTAGGCTACCCAACCCAATGGTTGCTGAACCGCTTGACAGAGTATGTACAACTTACCTTTCATTGCCTTCACCTCCACGGTAGCCCCCTTATCTTGCCCTTTATCAGCATTTTGTGTGACATCAGTCAACCAAGGACGATCATATGGGTCGCATTTCTACAAATAAGAGTGTGCATCAGTGTCAAGATTTTCTGTAAACACAATTACTTTAAAAATCCTGAGGGTTTGCTCATATGATCATGATGATACAGCTGAATATTAAATCTACGGTGAACTCTCCTTGAAAACAGTCATTTTGCTTGGTTATCGATTTCAAGCTCACAAGGAGGTGGAACTCTGTGCTGAGGTCAGCAATGCCTGTCAACACGACACATGGCGAAGCATAAAACATATCTGTGAATATCATAAACATTAAACAACATTGTCTTACCTGTTTGTGTTTCTTTGACTGCAGGTGAGTGAAGTAGTCAAACAGAGATGCTGATACATGATGGCAAACTCCACACCAGTGACCACCTGGGTCGTAGAACTCATGTTTGATGCCTACACTACTTTTCGGTTTTGTAACCTATATTACAGAGAAATGGTGTCATCATTGATATACTCATGTCAATAAATAAGAAAACATTGGAAACAGTGTAGAATGTTTTAACCTGCTGCATGGACTACACAAACGTATGTGATCAATACACAGTTCTGATAATCATTATGTGATTATCATGATGATTTTACTCACACATATCTTCTGTGAGTACATATTGAAACAAAAATATTGCATCTAATGAATGTATCAAAAGCAATCACTATCATGATTATTAGGCAAACTTGCTGTTTTTGTTAGAATTTTTCTCCTATAAAACTGTTGATAGGACTGATATATTTCAAACGACAGCTAAGTAGATTGGTAGTTACTCAATATTTCAATAGGAACAGTCTGTGAAACATTCTATCTTGTTTAAACAGATAAAAAGCATTTTTCCACTATTTCTGAAAGTACTTAAGTTTATTGCATTTAACAACTTTTTGATGTACATTCTTACACCATTATCAAGCTGAAGTGACAACCGAGTAATGAGTGGACTATACACAGGGAGACGACATCAACGAGCAGATTCACACACACCCCCCCCCCCCCCCCCAAAGGGTTCCCCTCTTGCCTCATCTTTACAGCAATCAACATGACCCATTTTGAAGAAGCCCCAATCCCAATAAATCCAACCTAAATGCTGGGACAGGACGGTAGATGACACCTTTGTCATCCTCAGAAAAGACCAGGACCCCACCTCACTTACACCAGCACCTGAACAGTGACAACACACAACAGGTCCAAGTAAAGTTCACCAAGGATACAGAGACAACCAACAACTCTCCTTATCCTACATCTGCATCACCCCACCCTACATTAGCTTCACATCAAATCACCATATTACTTAGGGAACAAGCAGGCATCAATACCATCTTCACTGAACATAACACTTCAGCAAATCAGCCCTCTCAGACCACCAGCAGAAGTTCCCAGCGATCAATTCAGTTTCACAGTCCAAATCCTCTCTACTAAACATCAGGACAAACTCTTGGAAGCCATAGAAATCTGCCATCACAAACCTTTGATCAACAAAGATCAAGGGTTTTACGTCCCGTCTGACTATGAAGATCTAACATGATCTAATCAAGCAATAGACTCTCCAGTCAACTTGTTACAACTTTTTAATCCTTCCTGTACATCTGGCTTCATTCAATTATTTGTGTGCTTCTTGTTACCCATTACTTGTTTGTTGTTAATGTTAATCTGCTGCTTATAACAACATAGCCTGTATATATATATACTGTGCATTACTTGGTTGTGGTCACTCCAGCTTGATAACGGTGGAAGAAGCTACATGGAAACATTGATAAACGCAATAAAGCAGAAATTGTTATCCATAAAGTTGTATGTGTTTATATTCTGAAATACTGATATCTGAAAATATTAAATTAATATTCCACTACTATGGCTACCATATAGTAAATCAGACTCAAACCTAACAAACAACTCCAGAGAAGGATTACAGTTGGCGAGATCAACGGTACCGATACTGCCCGACAACCAGGCAAGGGGACAAATACCATTTCTGGTTATTATGCAAAAAAAACGTGAGCTTGGCAAATCTGATTTCGTACCATTAAATTATCTGAAGTTCTAAACAGTAACAAACAGACCACTCACTTCTTTGGAGGGCTCTTCCACATCCTTTTTCGCAAGAGACGGGCTGTTTCGGTCTTCTTTATCTGCCTGTTTGAGGACAAAGGCTGACTTCTCTGAAGCTTTTCTCAGTTGTCTAATTTGTATTGATATCTCCTCTTGCAATTTGCTATTTTGTACCAACAAAGGATCTTTGTGACCATCTCTCTGTCGCTGTCGTCTTCTCATGATTTCATTTTGATGCTTTTTAAGTTTGCCAAGTTCTTTTTCCAATAATTGTAACTTCTTTTTTCTGTCTTCACACTCTTTCAACAGAGTTTGTTTATCTGAAGTTGATAAGGTTTTCAGCTTGACCTCCTTTGGTTCCTGCACAAGAGGCTTGCTTGGCTGAGCTTTGTCTTTACGTGACATTGCACCAGACATTTCATCCTCGACATCAGGCTTTCGTTTTTTATCCTTTGTGCTTTCTCTTTCTCTTTTGACCTTCTGAATTTTCTGAGCAGGACTTCTATCACCTTTCGATTTGGATTTTGGTGCAATCACAATTCGAGAATACTCAGGTGATTCTTCGCGTTCTCGCTTCACTGCTCTTTTTGTCATTTCTGGTGACTTTTCTTTTAGTTTTTTTCGATCATCAGCTATAGGAACAATTGTCAAATTTGCAATGCCTGTAGGTCTCTTTGGTTTTATTGGACCAATTTCTGGAGATGGAGACATATGTGGAGCATATGGTTGTGAAAGATGAGAAACTGGTGTTGTATAGTTATGCTGGGCGTATGGTGATGCATAGCTATATGTGGGAGGAAGATGTAGATGTGGATTTCCTGGTGGTACCAAACTTGGATGTCCTGCCTGATGACCATAAGCCAGAGGAGGAGGAGGATACATACCACTGTAAAATGAAGAGTACTGCAGAGGGGGAGGCTGAAAATGTGAAACTGGAGTAGGCTGTTGACTGACTGTGACTGCAGCACTAGGCTGATGGATCAAATCAACATCCCTAAATGGTTCATTTTGACTCTGATGTGGCAACACCTTTGGTTCTTCTCTGTGATGATCAACAGCATAGTCTTTATATCCTTCATCAGAATGTTTAACTTTCTCTTTTGCTCCTTTTAAGAAACTTTCAACTTCACTTCTTGCACTTTCCTTCTTGAACAGTTTTTCTCTGATGTCAGCACTAGATATTCCACCACCGAGAAAAGAAGCATTTTTATTGATAGAAAACTGTGATTCTTCTTCCTTTTGCTTCTTCAGTTTTGCAAGCTCTTGCATTCGTTTCGATAAATCAAAATTGAATCCTATGGACTTTAAGATATTTTGTACAGTTTTGTCCATATCCTCCCCCTTTTTTCCTTCAGTACCTCCCGATTCGGTGGAGGGTTGAGGCTTCATCCATGACGGTATACATGAAGATGGATCAATTGTCGTCTTTGGATTTGCACTTGTCTCCGAATTGTGCACTGGCATGATCTGAGATTTGGTCAACTCTTTGTCTAACACAGGAAACAGAGCCTGTGACTGTTGAGCTTTATTAATAGCAGCAGTAAATTCAGAATCCCCATACAAAAACTTTTCTTCATCATCTGCATCCATCTCGTTCTGCACAAATCCTGGCACATTTGTGTTTCTCCGCAATGCTGAATTAAACTGCATCTCCATACTGACAAGATTATCCGAGGGGAGAGGTGCTTGAAATTTTTTCAGAAAGTCTGAGACCTGCTCTGCAACACCGCTTTGGGTACTTGCAGTATTCCCACTTGCTGAGTCACTTTTTTTTTTGAGGATTGACTTGAGAGGTTTAGCAGCAACAGGTGGTGTTTGACTCTGAATTACATTGCCAATCCCAGATGGTGATAATTCCTTATCTACTTGTTGAAAAAAGCTACCTCGTTTCTCCCTCTCAGACCTTGGGGATCTTTTCTCTGAATTCGGTGAATATCTGCCTGATTCACTTTCCCTATGGCCTGCCACTCTGTTATTCCTTTCATGGCTGTGAGATCTATTTCTTTCAACCTCATGTTTATACTCATTTGCATAGACATCATGATCATGATTTTCAAAACGATCAACAGATCCTCTTCTTCTCTCACTTTCATAACTCTTGTTGAAATCATCCCTCTTCTCATGGGAAAAGGGTCTTCTTCTGGAGTCATCACAATCCTTGTATCTATCATATTTCTTTTTACCATGTCGGAAATCTTCTTTGTCGTATCGGTCTCGACTTCTTCTATGTACATCCTCATTATCCACGTTTCTATGGTCGGGCCGATAATGACGAGAAGTTGCCCTTTGGTGGTCTTGACAACTGTCACTGTATTCATCATGACTACCTTTCCAATCTTGATCCTTTGATCCAGTCTTTCTAGCTTTGTCATACTGACTATCATCACCCGGGGTTCTCTTACTATATCTATCAAGTTGAATGTCATCACTTCTCTTATACTTTTCTGATCTTTGTGTGTCCTCGTGCTGCCAGTAAGACTTCTCTCTCTTGCTATCAAAGCCATCATCAGAATACCTCCCCCTTGGTCCATAGTCTCTTGTTCCGGAAGGCCCTGTCAACTGTTCAACCATATCTACAGGCGGTCCTAAGCGTTCAGACAATGGGGTACCTCTCCTTGGAGAATCACTAGCTCTGCTGTCCTTGAAGAATTTTTCATTACCAACCGTGATTCTCAAGGATTCTGCATCTGCTGCCAAATCAATCTAAAACATAGACAGAACATAAAAAGTTTTTTTTCACTCTTTAATCATAGCTGGAAAGTACTGCAGATGTTTAATTGAAAAATTGATCTAATCATGAATTATGTCATAAACAAAACCGAAAGTTTACCGGTATTTCAAATGAACATTGATATAATATGTAGAATAGAATAACTACCTCACCTGGTTCTCATGATGAAAGAGTATTGAACATCCTTGCACATTTTCTACTCAATCACCCATGTACCTTTATAAAAATAAATCAGCAGTCCAGGGGAACTAAAACATTCCAAGATCTTTATCCAGTTAGCTCAAAGTTTTCTATGGTACTTCTTAATTTAACTGTTTCTGTATTTTTGAGTATTCTTAATGAGACTTGTTTGTTTGTTTGTTGTTCAATGCCGCACTCAGCATTATTCCAACTATATGACTTCGGCCGGTAAATAATCAAGTCTGGACCAGACAATCCTGTGATTGACATCATGAGCATCGATCCATGCAATTGGGATAAAATGACATGCATCAAAGCAAGTCAGCGAGCCTGATCACTCGATCTCGTTAGTCACCTCTTACGACAACCATAGCGGCCTTTTATGGCAACAAGCATGGGTTGCTGAAGACAGACCTATTCTACCCAAAATCTTCACTGGTCCTTAACAAAAAAAAAAAAAACTTTAAAAAAAAAAACTTCAAAAAGAAATCATATCAGAAATATGAAAAACTGCACAACTACTGGTACTCCAGGATAAGTTGAACCAACTCACTAAACATGTTTGAAACAATTAGGCAGTGCACAGAGTTTGGGCAGTTCCAGTAGTAGCACTTTCTAAGCTGGTCATTTGCACCACATTGAAGTAAGCAATGCAGACAATCCATCAGATAAATACATAAGAACTGACTTTGATTTCGGATTGTTTAAAAACCTTTGTGAGTGAGAGTGGTCTGCCGCCGCACAGTTTTTTTACACAACAATTTTTATCATAGGTTACATATATAATAAGTGATCAATGGTCATGATGGTGTCTTTATGTTTTGTGAACTAATCTATTTATTTTTTCCAAACACATTACTCATTATATTTATCTATTAATGTAACATCACATTATGAGACAATATTCAATAAACTGAGTGAAAGGTCATATATAAGGATGGACACATTAATTTCATGTTAAAGTATAATAAAATGTAACATCAATTCAATTAAAAATTAAGCTGTCAAACAGGGATTTAAAGTGGACAGAATTACCCCGCCCTTGTCAAATAGGATATTTCACAAAACTTAGTGGAAATGAGGTTAATGAGCTAAAGGTTTCTTTAGAAATAGACATAAATACATGAAATGATAATAAATAGTATCAAATAGTAATAATATTAACAAATAGCAATAATTAATGATGTAAAAAGAAATCCTGACATTTATTTTGACAATTTGTACTTGTCGTGTACCGAGAAGAAAAAGAGTACCTACATGATCCTGTAAAATTGGAAAAGACGCAGTTTCAGTCATAAAATCAGGCCCAGTTAGTTATGGCAAAGCTGTTTCCCTGTACTGTATTCCTAAGTGTATGATACAAGATCATGATAAACGTAGGATGGAAATTGGTTGCATCGTCAGCAGACCTTCAGCACTCCCTGACAAAATAGAGAATGAAATTGCAAATGTTGTCCAAGCTGTCACAATGGGGTTCAGTATTTTAAGAAACCTGGTACCTGGCGTAGCCTGGTAGGATGGTTTCCACAAAAGACATCCAGAGCTGTCTATCAGATGGCAAGAAAAACTGAGCCAGAGCAGAGTCAGGATGATGAATTGTCCAATTGTTGAAGAATATGTCCCAACTCCTTTTTTTCATACATTAGTTCAAGTGCTATAAATGGGTTTGCAAACCCCAAAACAACAGTAAAAAAATATGAGTATAGATACTGATTAATAAATTGATGAAGCACCATTACGATTGATGCCATGTTGACTGATTATGGCAGATAGGACAATTGAACTTTTAACAGCAGTTTGGGTGATAGATTGTATTATGCAAGTAGATGTACCTATAATGAACAATCAGTAGCCTTATCCTTGGTAGAAAGACTCTTAAAAATTTCCACATTGTTTCCATGGAAACACAAGAAATAACAAAATGGTACACATGCGTTACACCGGATACCTACAATACTGGATGAGTTCATGTGATGTTCCTATAATAGGATAATCATGCACGAAAATAGAGAAAATAAAAGTGGAGAAATTTAGGTAATAATTAACATTAAAATTGAGCTCCACGCACCACTACAGGTCTAGTGGAACTAGACCGTGTATGTCAATTACCTTTATAGCAAATAGATATAATCATCATTCGCCGGAGGTCTCTAGCTATTGTTCAGGACCAGATGAACGACAGTTTAGAGGACTTTCAACTATAAAAGGTAAGTAATTTCCCAAATCCTAAACTAACCCTAAAGATCGCAAAACAGGGACCAAGGGCTAAAGAGGTCTCTGTAAACAGGTATGGATACTTGTTGTTGCTGTAAAATGGACACGATCATTGAGGTGCCTTGGTTGCTAAAGAAATAGTTCATGCAAATTTTGAACGCACAATACAAAATGGAGGAAGGTATCTGGTATAATGCATTCTTTCCAAAAACAATAAAAAAGTGAAAAAAAGGAAAGAGTTAAGCATGTGGTCATTGATCATGTTTATTACACATGTACAGTTTCATGCAAAAATATTTATGTTTGAGAGCAATTGCTCAGAAACGAAGCCTGGAGTTTTTGAGACTAAGTCCATATTATCTCCATGGAAATGTACCCCCCCCCACAATTTTTTTTGGAAAAACTTAAAATAGTTAAAGGCCCCAGTTCAGCTGATGAGCAAAGCATGTGCCAACTTTTGTTCAAAAACATAAAATGGTTTTCAAGTTATGGCTCGGAATGGCAAGGGAACACGGACGCCAACTGAGGAACCGAGCCAAAAAAAATTCATATGATATTACAGCTAAGGTACGTATCTCAAGAAAGAGACATTATTAACGCCTGTGCATTTACCATTACAAATACAAACCCTAACAACATGTAAAATATTCCTGCATACTTTTGATGGTCTATAACCAGTGCCAGTTACTGTTGGTCCTTTATTGTTTCTGGGATATTCCCCCAGACTAGTCCCTCACAGCTAGTGCTTTATGTGGCCAGATGTGTTTGTAAGTAAATAATTATGCTTATCTCATTTCTAGAAATTAATTTGAATTATAAAAAAATCTTTAATGGTACATTTGGAACAGAATTATACCTTAAGCATGTGACAATTGCAAAATTTTGTGTGGTTGCACAATTTTGTTGCAGTTCCCATGGACTCAAATAGAAACTGGCAGGTATTTTAATATCCCTAGAAACAAAAGCCTGTGCACAATTTGCAAGGAAGGTCATTTTTTGATGGCTTAAAGTGAATGAGTGAGTTGGGTTTAACGTCGCTTTTAACTGTGTTCCAGTTATATTATGGCGTGTCAGCTAAATGTGGGAGGAAAGCACAAAGTGATGCAGGTCTCAGACATTTACTACCTTGGTGAAACCCACGAGCACGGGTATGGTGCTGAAGGACCTAGAAACATAATTGGGGCGAACCGGGTTTCGAACCAACAATCATAGGTTTGGGGTGACCCAAGGGATGCAACTCTGCAAAGCGGATTGCGGTGTCTTAGATGACTGGGCCACCTGTGCCCCCTTTATGGCTTAGTGCCGGTGATTCGGTCAGAAGCAGTTGTAACATAATTAGGTGTATTTGTCATTTCTTAAAATGAATTTGTATAAATAAAACACAATAGGTTTAGGGTATGAATTTTGAGAAAAGTTTGTAAGTACATTTTATTAATGTTTCTTGCCTCGCTGTCATTTTTCATTACATTTCAATGTCACTTGTCAGAGTCAGACTGTATTGTGTATTTTATAACCTTTTGTCCCTTCACACGTCTTTTCAGTAGATACTGCAGGCTATAGTTACTAAACAAATATTGCAAACTCTCTACAATGCTGAACTTATTTAATGACATCCGGTGTAGAGATCATGGATCACTGAGAGGAGATTATGCACACTCAATGACTCCTAATGTCACAGGTATTGTTTCGCCGGTGTATCTGGCAAACAAAACATCCCAAATTACATCATAGGGTATTATGACGTATTTGAAAAGTGGTACTGTATTCTAAAGGCAGACCTCAATTGCTGTCATTGTATGTTGTAAATAAATGCCCAAGGATTAAAATTATATACATATCTTGTGTCTTGTATACTATTTTGTGTCATTGGGACACATTGCTAACATCAAAAATTGGGCCTGTTTTTAGTCTTGTCCTCATCTTACAAGGATGCATTGAAAATAGACATAAATTGGTATAGTTATTCATTCAGGACACACCAAAGATAAATTAGAAAATGTTTAAAAAAAAAATTTAAATTAAAAAAAAAATCAATCTAATTGTTACTACGAGTTGGGAGTGACTACCATTAGTCTCCATGGCTACGAATTATTTTGATTAAGAGTTCACCTACAGCCCCAAACATAAACTACCTGCTTGCACTCTAGGATCAATGAAAACACGCTGCATGTTGTTCTGTTTGACACGTTTTCTTAGACTGCTACACATTGAACACACTCTCCCTAACTTGGAAGTGTGCTGGACTTGTGTATATATATTTTTAGGTGCATACTTTGTCATGTGATCGTCGCTTCGACGGTGAAACGTCACCCCTTCTGTACTCAAAGTGGTCATGCCTTTTCCTTTCCATAGATGTCTCGTGAGTATCGCGATTGTCATCACCAACGAAGTGTGGACTTTCGCGACGATCTCTGCCGTGTCTATCTTGTATATGGGTCGAACCTCTGCCTCTCGAGGATCGTTGAACACCACTATCACCACTGTCGCCACGATTGTTCAATGTAATGCGTAAACCTTCTTCTCTATTTGTAACACTGCCTCGTCCCCTGAAGAACTTTCCCCGACCCCTTATAAGCTGAGGACGACTCCGTGACCGACCTCTTGAGTTGAATACCATTATCAACGTTTCCTCCGCACGTCCATGATGGCGGCTCTGTTAACACGCATGTCTGCTAACCATTTGTGTGTTCGTTACGACAACTTCGAAATTAGATATTAGGCTACAACATTGTGTCGATTGTACTCTCGCCTCCAATAATGTGTGGGAATGTGATGCAATAGAAACATTTCTCGAAACACAAGTACAAATATAATTTTTAGATAGCGACATTGCGACATCTGTCAAATCGGGATCACTCGGGTTTTCCCGCTATTTGGGATTAACGGGACTCGTTCCCTTCGTCACCACATTCAAGTCTACATTCGGCTTGTCCCGGAATGGGACTAGTTGGTGAGGTCACAGGTGTCGTCATTCGTGACCCAGTCGTGTTATTCCGGGACAAGCCGAATGGAGACTCGTATGACCGTCGAAGGTTTCCATTTTGGCGTATGAGTGAGTGAATATAGTTTTACACCGCCTTTAGCAATATTCCAGCAAAATCACGGCGGGGGGACACCAGAAATGGGCTTCATACATCGTATTCATCTGGGGAATCAGACCCGGTCCTTCGGCGTGACGAGCAAACGCTTTAGCCACCAGTCTACCCCACGTTTGACAACTTATGACAACGAGAACCACTTAGAACAAGAACAAAAACTGTTATTATACCCGCATTGTATATGTTGGCGATACAGCCGCGCTCGCTTATTGTCACATTCCTTTTGTAAAAATATTAAAGGAGAGGCAAAAAATGTGACTCGTCACTTAACCAAACTTTTGTCTCCATCGCAGTTGTGACCTTGACACAATGGACGTCGCAGCCGACGATGCAGGTCCGTCAAAATGTCACCTCGAACAGGTCGTCCAGCGCGAATACCTTAAGTGTGTCATCGGTTCCTCACTGCCAGGACTGATACCCTACACAATCCTGGTATTGCCATAGTTGTAGAGGTGGCCGTGGTGCTTCTTTCACGTAAGTGACGGTGCTGTAGGAATCTGTCCTGTGATCTAGAAGTGATACGTGGTCGACCAGATCTGGGTAGGTCCTGTGTGTCTGATAACGGTTTCAGAGTCTTCTTATGGTGCTTGGATATATGTGGAAAAAACTGGTTACAGCTGAAGATGATAATCCTGTTTTTATAGCCCAACAAGTGATGTTGCACGTGCATGTCATGTTGGAGTGTTTCGGTGCCAGGCTCTCACATGGTTGTGTTTTTGCGATTTTCCCATCTTTTCACCAAATTTCAGCAGTACCTAATTCTTTCCACACAAATAAATCCCAATACATGCAGCAATGACCAATTCATCTTTGATATCAAATTTGTATGGATGTTGGCAACACATTGTCAGAAATTTATGATTTTTCCATATTTGCTGATTTTTTTGCGAGTATATGATGTCCAATCAACATTTACCGTATTCGACGTAATAAGCGCCCAGGGCGCTCTCAAAATTTGAAATAGGGGGCTCTTATTAGAATATTATTTTGGTTAAAAAAAACAGAGTCGAAAGATAAATTTCGTGGTTTATGCTGACAGCCTGAAATGTTTATATACGAGAGATCCTTTTTTCGGAATTTAATTGCCCATTATTAAGGGTGCATATAACAAACGAGTGTGTATTATACGCGAATAAATAAGTCTTGTGTACATTGATCAATCGGTAGGGGTGCTGATTGGAATTGTTCACTAGCCAATCTATTAGCAAATATCGCTGTGGGCGCTTATTAGAGCGGGGCGCTTATTACGTCGAGTACGGTACCCATAGTCTGTCAAAAATGGGAAAGAGAAATCAAACAAACATTTCATAGAAAAATGCATTTTTTAATCTAGAAAATGAACAAAAAGTACAAAGTTCTTGGATTTACAATTCAAATTTATTGAAAAGATAATTTCCACAGAAAAGAATTATACATTATAGGCTGAAATTAGTGTATGACGAGCTTTATTATTTCGGTAAGATTTTCAAAGCAAATTTAACTCATATTTATTTAGGAAGTGAGGCAACAATGTGCTTTTTGAATAAGTTAGAGCACCAACTGAAGCAATTACTTCAAAACATAATAATCATATACAGTGAATTATGGTTATAACGAACTCTATGGGACCACTGATTTAGATTTGTCATATTCGTAGTTTGTTTTACGCATTTCGACTGTCAGACATCTTTTATCAAGTCATGTGACATCATGTTACTCGATAAATAACAAAAGTGTGCACATGAACAGAATATATCCGCTTCAATCACTGTGTTACTATTGTTACTTGGTGTAATTTGAGGACAAAGTATCGGTACTTAAAGAGTAAATCAATTGCCTTCAAGTGTTTATAGTGTTTGAACAACAGTGGATGTTTTGATTGGCAAATCGGTAACACGTGAGGAGCTCAGCTTAGGGATTAACAGTTCGTTATAACTTGAACATTATCGTTGACAGAGTATACACACGGGACCACAAGGTGAGTTCGCTGTATCCGTTATTTCGTTATGAACGTGTTCGTTATATCCATCAACTTTATCTGATAAAATATATGGCAAATTGTGGGGACCAAAAGAACAGTTCTTTATAAGCATGTTCGTTATAAACATAGTTTACTGTAGTATTTTTAACTGAGAAACACATCCACATGTAAAAATGGAATCAAACCATGGGCGGATACAGCGTTTTTGAAAAGGGGGGGGGGGGGGGGGGGGGTGGGGGGGGGGTGGTGTGTGTGTGCACGATTAAGATCTATTTATTGTCTTTGGTGGTAATTTATACAGAAATAAAGATTTTTTTCGAAATAAAAAGGGGGGATGTGCACCCCCGCACCCCTGTGTATCCGCCCATGCAAACCATCAGTTGAAAGACTTTAAGATACACTGACTTCCATTTCCACGCTAGAAATGACCATAGCCCATCAAGGTATATATATCCCTCCATGCGGACATCCTAGTACCTCTGCCATTGGCCAGCACCATGTGAAGATTCGTCACATCTTACAGAGTCAATTCAAGCTATTGCATATATTTTTAAACTGTATCATTTTTGTGTTAGGGTGAGTGAGTTAGTTTTAAGCTGCTTTTAGCAATGTTCCAGCAATATCATATGCAGGGTCCCAGAAATGGGCTTTACACATTGTACCCTTGAGGGGAATCGAACCCAGGACTTTGGCATGACAAGGAAACACTTTAACCACTAGGCTACCCCATCGCCCCCATTTTTGTGTTGAGTCTCCACATTCAGATGAACATGTCATAGAATGGTTAGCCTCCATTGATAAAATATCCTAAAATGGGAAAAACTATTTCCATTTGCATATTTATCCTTTATTTACATTGGTTGTACTTTCCACATTCTTTCATGGAAGCCCTAAAGGGAGCTAGCGATACAGACACTTTGATGCATAAAGGTAAATTGTCATGCCCCTTTAAATACTGTTGCAGTTGTAGTAGCACATCTATGAAATTAAACAAACAATATGTAATCTTGTTGGTTTGTTGTTTTATGCACTCACAAATATTCCAGCCATATGAAGGCGGTCTGTAAATAATCGTGTCTGTACCAGACAATCCAGTGATTGACATCATGAGCACTAATCTACGCAATTGGAATACAATAACATGCATCAACTAAGTGAGCTAGCCCACCTGATCTTGTTAGTCGAACCTTACGATAAGCATGGTTGCTGAAGAACTATTCTAACCCGGATCTTCACGGGTCAACAATATGTAAAGCGCACTGAAAGGCCAGTCTGTTCTGGTTTCAGAATATGCACGTTTGTTTTCAAACAAGAGAAATGTCAGGTTAAGTGATATGCAAATTAGCCAGTGACAGTGGTGTAATGCAATTCATCATTGTTCAGTGGGAATGTTGTGAAGAAACTGGAACTGTTAGTCGATAAACTGCTGTACTGAGAATGTATACTGGCCACTGAAACACTTCTTAGAAATCTCATGTTTCCTCTATAAGATGTTAATTTTGTGCAAGCCATTGACCTGCTGTCTAATCTGTTTAATGCTGGTACAGTGGCAACTCACTACCTTACCTCAAGTTCTAGTCATACAAAGAGTGCATTTGCAGGACACGGTCATTAATAATCCCAATATATCACATAATAGAAACCAGGTTCTAATAGAGCCTTGTCTATTATTTTTTGGACAAAGTGTATGACCCGGCATCAATAAGAGGCTGGCATGTAATGGAGGCCAAACATCTAATAGAGAAAATATGGTATTGATTTTAAGATTAACAAGCTGCCAGGTTTACTTACTTGTACACAACTGAGTGGTTGGAATTGCTTTCAAGCTTTTGCTCTTTAAGAAGAATATCACCATTTCTGTAATATTGAACAGCTTGCATGTACATGCATGATACACATAGGATTGTTGATGATGTAACCATATACTGTATATATCAAATCACAAAATGTAAGTATGCACTGTAGAATACAGATATATTTGACTGTGTACTGTATACAACTAGAAAGGTGTTTGGATTAAGTGCTAAAACAGAAGAAGACCCATTCCCCCCATTTTCTGAATGTGCTGAAACTTCCCCATCAGAAACATGTGTCATGAACCATTTAGACTTTACCACACCAGGCGACAGTGGAGCTCACACATGCCCATTGCAGTACAAATTAGTGACAGAAAGTCCTACACCGCTAGCTACCCTAATAACTAAGTTGCAAGCACTTCCAGTCTAATAACATCACTTCCAGCTTTGAAACAGGAATTCCCACACAAAATAATGGTACAAAAGGTCAACACGTCTCCATACCATACTAACAATACTTCCTGAATAAGTCTATTTACAAGTCATTTTATGAGTTTGTTTGTTTGTTGTTTAACGTACACTCAGCAATATTCCAGCTATATCACGGCGATCTGTAAACAATCGAGTCTGGACCAGAAAATCCAGTGATTGACATGATGAGCATCGATCTATGCAATTGGGATACTATGACATACATCAACCAAGTCAGCGAGTCTGACCACCCGATCCTGTTAGTCGCCTCTTAAGACAAGCATAGTCGCCTTTTACGGCAAGCATGGGTTGCTGAAGACCGATTCTAACCTGAATCTTCACAGGTTCATCATATGAGTGAATGACCTTGACATTTGACATAATCATGACATATGATAGGTGTTGAAATAGTTGCTTTGAGTTAATCTGCAATGATTATATAAAATCTGAAACTTGCACCATGTTTTATAATTTGAAACACACACCTTAGAGCCAGGGTAAACCTGGGAGTAGTACTCGCGATCATAGGGATGCAACATATATACATATATACATAAACATCATATATACAGTGTTGACACGTGAAAGAGTAGATACCTTTAACAGGAGACATCAATACATGTATATTGTTAAATTTATTTGAAATTTTTATATCAGTCAGAATATTTCTTTAGTAATTTAAACATTTCTTTGGCGTTTTTGATGAGTTACGTCACATTTGCTTCCATTATTCAAAATCTAAAATGTTTCATTTTTGAAACATGACAATGGCAACAGTCAAATCTATGCAAAGTTTAAAAACTTGGAGCCTTATATACTTTCTAGGGGAATAAATTTTCTAATGCCATACAATATCTCCAGTTGTTTTACACACAAAAAAACACACAAAAGTTCTTATGATTTGAACAAAATATGTTGTCATCATAGGGAGACTCAAACATGATAATATCAGAAAAGTTTACAAAATCAAAAATACATTTTTTATAGTATTTAAGAGCATTACATTACATTTTGAGCAGTGGCCATAATTAGGTAAAATAGCTGCTTGTGGCAGCCATTTTGCAAATTGACGCAAACGTGAAGTTTCAGCTTCCATGGTAAAGTTGTTCTTCTGTTGCAGTTCTAAGGTCAAATTATATTAGCAGAACTTGAAATATACAGCTATACTTATACCAAATTTTATTACATTTGGAGTGAAATTGGCCAAACATGGCCAAAAATAAATCTTTCCATATGGCTGCCATATTGACAATTGTACATTTTATTGCACAATATTCCTAATTTCAGTGTCAAATTCATGGGAAAAAGAACAATCTTGACAACAAAGTATTTTTAACTTGGAGATACTGTGTGTGAACTTGTAATGTTCTTGCTTGGGGTAGATTTGTCTCACGGGTAAATACAACTGCTTAACTTTCAGCACCCTACAAACTAACATTTGAATTTACCATATCTTTCTCTTTTGGACTGAACTGCAGAATTGTCATAATGGCTTTCAGCATTTGCTTCTTGCCACTTTTATCTGAACTTATGAGAAAATTATAGACTACATTTTTTAAATATTCTAAATTGGCATTTTCTCGTGTCACATTTCTTTGCTGTTTCCATAATTCTTCTGTTAACTTTTCATTTTCTTCTTTGAGTTTATCTTGCCTTAGGCTACTGGTATGTTCACTGTCCCTTAATGCTCCTTCTAACTGTCTCTTCTGTTTCCTCAAACTGGATAGTTCCACATCCCTCCGTGCCTGTTCTTGGGAAAAGTGAAGCAGCAAAGTTTCTCCTTGATGTCCATGTGACTGTGCAAGGAGTTCTTTCACAGCATCTTTCCCATCCGTATCTTTCTGCTTGCCAGCTTCCATGGCAACATCTGAGTACTCATTCATCTCACCTACATACTCCAGGTCCACATTGTGACTGGTAAAGGTTTTCAGTGCTGATAGTTCTCCATCTTTCTCTGCTAACATTGCAATGGTCCTCTCTCGCTGCTTCTTTAATTCATACTCCATTTCCTTGATTTGTTTGGCATGCTGTGACTTAACTGTTCCCAGTGTTTGCCTGTGCTGTTCCTGATCGGTCTGCAGTGTTTTACTGAGGTGGCTGACTTTCAAATCTTTGGCTTCTTGGACCTCTTTATGCTGCTGGTGACCCAGCTTTAGTTTCTCTCGAAGTTGGATTATTTGATCTTTTAACACCTCCAGATCTTTGTTGGATGAATCCTGCAACAAGTCAAAGGTCACATACAAACACTGCATTGAAACAGATGAAATGTTCAGACAAAAATATGGAAAGTATAAGCTTTACTTTATTTACTGTACTTGTAATCTGTTATCGTCTATACACTGTACCTCATGGTACTTCCAAAAGGTGGAGTGAGGGTCCCCCCAGACCATCAAGTGATCGCATTTCTTGCATATTGACAGGGATAACAACGACGCCATCCCTGTCCCACAACACACACACAACTAAAACTTACAATAGTAACAACAAAAAAAACAGTTACTGAAGAAAAATACTTCCTAAACCAGTTGAATTACTAAGTTGAAATGGGGGTTTAACGTCGCGATCAACATTATTGCCTTTACATAGCGTGTGTATATAGCATGTGTGTGTGTGGCTGCTCATACTAGTCCAGACTAATGCCGATATTATAGTGCTAGCCCACTGAGATACCATGCTGCAGTTTAACATGAATATCCCTCTCAGACAGTATACTGACACTGAGCCAACCAGTGCTCGTTTTGGCCCTTTAATGCTGATTTTTAGACAGGGTAATAACACGTGCCATCTATTAACATCTGGTATGACGCCAGTCAGGAATCGAATCCCGACCTTCAGCTCTGCTACCACAATGGAATTACTAAGTAATTACAACCTGAATATATACTGAATATCAACTCAACTGCAGGGTGAAACACAACCAAAATGCTGGAAAACACACAGGAAAGAAGTGAGTTTTTGTCCTGCTTTGCACATCCAGCTATGTGCTAATAAGAGTACAACTACCCATGTACAGTTGACAGTGAAAATACAGTGAAAACACAGGATTAAGGCGATTAATGATAGAGGTATGGTATGCCTACCCCAATGTTTACAAACCTGACACGAGAGACTGTCAGGAGTGATATTTTTTTGTTGTTGTTTGTTTAACATCACACTCAGAAATATCCAGATGACAGTCTGTAAATAACCGAGTCTGGACCAGACAATCCAGTGATTGCCATCATGGGCATAGATCTGGGTTACGATGAAATGCATTAACCAAGTCAGTGAGTCTGATCACTTCTTACGACAAGTACGGGTTGCTGAAGACCAATTCTAACCCGGATCAAAAGGGGAATGAAACCTGATTGGGTCCGTGGCAGCAATACCTGCCCTATCTGAGCCTTGCCAGGGGGATTACTCCCAGGTGACTGAGTCACGCCAGTTCAGGGCCTTGGAGATTCAAGGAGATTACTGCAGACTACTAGACTTGCAGCCAATGAGACAGATCCTAGGCCACCCTTGAAAGTTTTGAAGGAGTTAAATCTGGGGCGTGGCAAAGGGGTGCACAGGATCAAGAACCTTTGACCTAGTAGGGAGAAGCAGGTTAGGAAAAGTGGGGTGGGGTTTAATTTTCTTATTTTACCAAATTTGTATCTTTTCGGGGTCATTCCTGCATCCCATTATGGTTAACGAACAGGCTCACATACTTGGGACAGACTCACATACTTGGACAGGCTTGCATAATTGGACAAACTCACATACTTGGAGGGACTCACACACTTGGACAGACTTACACGCTTGGACAGACTCACATACTTGGACAGACTCACACACTTGGACAGACTCACATACTTGGATAGACTCACATACTTGGATAGACTCACATAATTGGATAGACTCACATACTTGGACAAACCCACATACTTGGATAGACTCACATACTTGGATAGATTCACATACTTGGACAGACTCACACACTTGGAAAGACTCACACACTTGTACACACTTGTATACACTCACACACTTGTACACACTCACACACTTGGACAGACTCACATACTTGGACAGACTCACATACTTAGTAATAGACTATCAGTCCTGTTAAGATAGAAAGTACATTTCTTGATTTTGCACCCTTGATCTATTTGATCTACGAAGCAGGAAAACTGATGTAGATAACTCACCTTGTTTTTGTTTTTGAGAACAGACTGTGCTCTCAACTTGTACCTTTCAAATTCCTCTTTGACATGTTCTAATTCTTCTTTGTATTGAGCACACTGTGGATGCAGGCTGTCTGTCTTTTCACTGTCCCCAGACAGCAGCCCTACAAACATATACAATGTTTGAGGATTATGAGATATCTTACAGTCATTATAACACACAAGCAATACCAGTGGTTTATCTCAAAATGCCCCCAAATAGCCAAACTATAAAGGGCAAATAAACACAACATAGCAATTTTGCAGACTTTGAAACTTTAGAGCATAGCTAAATACAAATGCTTGGCCAATAGTAAGTTTGAAAAACAGAAATAAGGTAAAACAGACGATAAAAAATGACAGACAAAATCACCCCCCAAAATGAAAACATCCACCACTGGGGAAATTTCCCTGGCTGGGGTTTTAATGGGTTCCCGGTGTTTGACGCGCTGCGCCGGTTCAATGATCAGGCTCGCACACAGTCTATCTGCTTCCGCCTTAGATTCCTAAATCGCATCTCATTCTGTCAACTGGCGGGTCCAGCGGGGGGATGCAGGGGTGTGCATGACACTAAGTTTGTCCAGCAGTAGAATGTGTACACACAGCTCTGCTAATGGAACCTGCACGGCATTTCTACATTGTAAATCATACATAGTTTGTTGGGAGTTTATCTATGGGATCTGACAAATTCTGGATTGGTTTCATTCGTTTGTTGTTTAATGTCACGCTTAGCAGTATTCGAGAAAAATCAAATGTTGACCAGACAGTCCAGTGATTCATGAGGTTTGATCTACTATATGATGACATGCATCAACCAAGCTAGACTGACCACCTGATCCCATTAGTTCCCTCCACGGATAAGCATGGGTTGCTAGAGACACGGATCTTTACAGGGCAAATAATTCTGGAACAAAATCGTGTCGGCTGTGATAGCCTTCTTCTGTAGTAGGACTGCTATATTCTTCCACAGAAGATTCCGATGGAAACAAAGGACATTCTGACACACAACGCAATGCTCAGTCAAGGTCAAGTTTGGCGATGATGGGAATCTATCCAGGACTTCCCTATTCTTCACAAGTAGGGCAAAAGGAGGATATTTTGTTGTTGAGGCCAACAATCTCCTCTCAGATGACCGGATCAACCCTTACTAGTTGTATGATCAAAGTACTACAAGAGGGATCAAAGACAGCTTGGTAACATGACTAACAACCTGCAACATGCTGAGAAACAAATACACATGTTGTGTTGTATATGGAAGCATACAAACCTAATGCAATAAGTAGACAACACAACAGGTGAACTGGATGCACCATGCAAAGTACCCAGCAGCAGAACGCTGTTGTCTACAAATTACTTATGTTATTCAGTTTATAACGAGAAGAATGTGTCCTCTTTACTATTTCAAGGTACATACAGTTATGGAACACCAAAAATCAAGGCCTTTTCAAGGCTGCCAACTGTGATTTTCAAGGTTCTTTTAGTTGGGTTATTACTCTGTCGGTACATTACTAAATCCAGCATACTATATATTGGTAGTAAGCAGTTTCAACATCACTCAGTTTCAAACGATTTATTTTTTACCAAACAATATATATATTAAGTCTGTCATGAATTCTTCAGGGTGTTTGGCACACAAATCTATCACTGTGATAAATCTCACTTAAACATCTTTGGTACATATCTTTCTGTCCTTTAATACTTTGATGAGCAAGTATATGTCACTTTTGTACATATTCAAGGCTTTTTAAGCCATTTTGGTGATTTTCAAGGCTTTTCAAGGTTGACAGTACAAAATTATCAAGGCTTTTCAAGAGGGACCTTAAAATTCAAAGCCATTGCAAGGCTGTATGAACCCTGTATTTGAAAGAATTAAAACATACAGTCGAAAGTTTCAACTGTGTTTCTGTTGTTTCAAATGGCAGACAAAACAAACAATGACATGCCATGCAACTGAACCATTGGTGAGTGAGTGAGTGAGTGAGTGAGTGAGTGAGTTTGGTTTAACGCCACTTTTAACAGTATTCCAGTTATATCACGTCGTGTCAGCTTAATGTGGGAGGAAAGCCCGAAGTGATGCAGGTCTCAGACGTTTATCACTTCGATGACACCCACGAGCACGGGTATTGTGCTGACAAACCTAGAAACATAATTGGGGCAATCATAGGTTTCTGGCATGCCCAAGGGATGCAACTCTGCACAGCAAATCGCGGTGCCTTAGACGACTGGGCCACCCGTGCCCCCGAACCATTGTTCCAGGTCACCACAGACTAGGACAATCATATACACACCTAATATGTTTATAGGATTCTCCAGTGTTATGTTGGCAGCTTTAAGTTGCTCCAATAGATGAACAATTCTCTCTGCTATGGCATCAGGATCCAGGTGGCTGTCTTCTACAGGGAGGGAGGAGACTGCAGCTGTTGCCAGGACCGTGTTCTCATGGTCCAGCTGACTGACCCTCTCCTTCAGCTTGGTGATCACCTCCTGGTCTTTAACCCTCATCTTGTCGTAGTTGCCGATGATGTCCGATATTTCAGACAGGTTGGCTTCCAGACTGCATATTCTTTCTTCCGACTGCTGTGCACACACGTTGTGTTGATATTCTGCCTCATTCGCCCGCCTTGTTTCTTCAGCAACTTGCTGCTGGTAGTTTGTCTGCATGTAGAAAACATTGCATATACAAACTACAAACAAGAAAAAAAAGTAAGCGTGGCTCACTAATACCCCCGACCCCCCTAGTGTGTCAGTAGTTTCAAATTAAATAGCGAGGATAGGGATAGGGTTTGAAAAATTCATAAAAAAATGGAAAATTAATAAAAACATTTTTTTTCTTTTGACTGCACCCCTCGATATGACACAGATTATATGTAGTAAGTTTGAGATGAATCCACTGAATAGTTTAAGAGAAATCGCACGGACAAAGTTTTCGGACGGACGTTAGGGTTTGAAAAATTCATAAAAAAATGGAAAATCAATAAAAACAATTTTTTTCTTTTGACTGCACCCCTTCATATGACACAGATTATATGTACTAAGTTTGAGATGAATCCACTGAATAGTTTAAGAGAAATCGCATGGACAAAGTTTTCAGACGGACGGATGGAACCTTGGTATAACTATATACCCCCGACATTTTGTCCAAGGTATAAAAATTAAAACTCCACTGGGTGAAAATGATGTGATCAGTGTCATCATTAAATAAGTGACTACTAACAAGGAATGACACTGCTGTCACCTGTCAGCATTCTCATTAAGTTAAGAGTGAGTGGGTATGGTTTTATGCAGCTTTTAGCAATATTCCAATATCACGGTGGGGAAACCGGAGAATGGGCTTGACACATTGTACCTATGTAGGGAATTGAACATGGGTCTTCGGTGTGATGAGCCAATGCTTTAAACCACTAGGCTACCCCCATCGCCCCCATCAAGTTTTGAAGCTACAGTCTTTGTCTTGAGTATGTTTCATGTTTCATGTTTCATAAAGAAATGTGGAATAGTTTAAGTTCCACAACTGGCTGACTTGAATACTTGCTAACTTCCATAGAAGTGCAAATGCACCTGCACATTAGTGCAATGACCCTGTGCCTCACCTGGGTATGCAGTCAACAAAGACAGCCAGTTAACAATGTCAGCATTCATCATTGTTCATAGTCAAATCATTTTTGCACAAATACTGACAACTAAAACGAATGTTAGAGAAGTTTACAGAACCAATATGCATTCTGAGAGAATATAATAGCATGGTCCAAACACCAAATCAAATTCAAAATATAATTAAATATGGCGAAAAACAGAACATATGTGTGCATCCCACCACAAACTTAGTACATACCAAATTTCACTACATTTTTTTTTAAAATGGCTCAGTAATAATTATAATCACAGCCATCATTCACAGTTCTATTTCAGTAAACATGTTTCCAAAACCAGGAGTGACTACATTCGAACTAGAAATGCAAATAATTTTGCTATTCACTGACCAACAATAAGCCTTCTTACCAAGAAAATGGAAACTGACATCGCTGACAGCTACATATTCTGTAGAATGTGACTGGGACAGACGGTATTCTGTAGAAAGTCCCTACTTAGATCAATAGGATGATGTCACTGGAGGTTAATGAGGTCTGTTTCAGGCCCCTTAGTTAACACTAATATAGAAGAAATACAAAAATACTACTACAGGTTTGATTGCTGTTTCGGGAATTTGTTTCATTAGACTGTGAGAGTAAAATCTCCTGAGAATATTGCAAAGGACAAGTTATGGCTTCTATATCAGACTCCAGTGTTTTGGGAGCAGGCTGCTTACATGCTTTGTCTGAAAATATGATCAGGATATTTTTGAAGAAAAGAAGTTCTGCTTTGAAATTGAAGCTTGCCAATGATGTTTTGGAACTTGTAATAAAAATGGCTACCACAAATACTTATTCATGTATACTACTCAAAAGAAGTTAAGGATCACCCGATTCTTTCATAATGGTAAAGTTAATCTGTCATGACATGAGAGATTAACTATAATAATATGAAAGAATCAGGTGATCCTTAACTTCTTTTGAGTAGTACATATGTCACCTTGAGTTCCTCCATTTCTTTCTGCAGTTCCAACAACAATGGCGATGGAGTGTTAGATTTGTTGTCCGATTCCTTCAGCTGCTTCCTTACAGCTGCCAGTTCTTCAGACAACAAATTAATTCTTTTTTCGTACAGTTCAAGGTCTTGTGAGCCATTATTTTTCTCCTTTAGGGCACTCTGCACTGTGTCAAGCTGGATAAAATGAACATAGAACAACAGTTTGGTTTAACAAATCAGAATCATGTACATGATTCACCATCCATCAAATATTGCAAAAGTCTGCATTTACTGTTTGTCTGATCAAGTGTCATATACACGGATGTAAATAGATCTACACCCTGTAAATCTGGTTGAGAATTGTTGTCAGAGGTGACTAACGGGATCGGGTGGTCAGGCATATTTTATCCCAATTGTGTAGATTCATGCTCGTGATGTCAATCACTTGATTGTCTGAAATACCGCAGAGGGAGGTGTTAAACAACAAACAAAAACTTAGATCCACGACTGATACTATGTGCTTCTCTCCATCAATAAATAGATCAGATAAGACTATAATCTAAGTTCGTTTTTCTTTCCATAACTAGCGACCATTAGTGTCAATGTCAGCCAATCATCATACATATACATGTTGAGTTTATGAGAGAGTGAGTGAGTGAGTTGGGTTTAACGCCACTTTTAACAGTATTCCAGTTATATCACGGCGTGTCAGCTTAATGTGGGAGGAAAGTTCGAAGTGATGCAGGTCTCACATGTTTACCACTTCGGTGAAACCCACGAGCACGGGTATGGTGCTGACAAACTCAACTATGGTGAGGACACAACTCTACACAGCGAATCACGGCACCTTAGATGACTGGGCCTTCCGTAATCCGTTGAGTTTAGTGATGAGAATGCATGGCAACAGTAAAACACATTTTAATAACCATTACCTGTGTTTCTAGCTGTTCTTTTGCTGTCCTCTCCTGCCCCAATAGTAACTGTAGTTCTTTAAGCATGACACCATGATCGGTTTCTTCCTTTTGACGCTCCAGCTGATGTGCTCGAATTTTGCTTCTTAGCTGCAAAGGCAAAAAATTTAATTGAGAGAGAGAGAGACAGACAGAGTGAGAGTGAGAGAGAGAGCAGTTGGAAAAGTGTGAGCCCCTTAATAACATCTCACTTGACAGCCAAAAGATCCTCTTGCATCTTGAGAATGCTCTCCAATGAACTGTGGATGAAGCCCCATTGACTTATTCTCATGGTGATTGGTGTATCTCCTGGCATGCCATACTAGGATTCATGAAGAGGAGGTACCGGGTATGGTATGGCACAATCCTACCACAAACTAACTGATGTTTGATCCAATCCCCATCACATCTACTGACCATGTGTCCTTGACCCTCGTAATGGGTACATCCATGGCAGTGGCAGAGGATTTCACCAACTTGTTATTAGGGGTGTCACGATAAATCGAAATATCGATATATTGTTATTGGTAAGCACATAAAGTCAATAAATCGATTGTTAAATCAGTTTCCGATCAATAGTATCATTTTCAGTTAGGAATATTGATAGTTTCGATTGTATTTACCATATCAATAAAATACATGCAATGCTGTTCAAATGTGTTTTTCTTTTGATCATGAGTGGTAGTAATTTACACATGGTAATGTGGAAGTTTCTTTTTCTTAAATTATTAGGGTAAAGAAAACACAAATCAGTCATATCTCAAACTTTACTTCGTATTGGTTGTTATGGTTATCACATTCAAAGGAAACTTCAGTTCCAAGGTTTAATTCAACTCTAAAATCCAACTTAAATGATACACTGAAAACTATTGATATTTATCGCAATAGTTGCTTGCAATATCAATAGTTATTGCAATAGTTTCTTTTAATATCAATAGTTATTGCAATAGTGATTTCCAGACCAATAGTCACCCCTACTTGTAATTATCCTCATCAATAGATGGAAGTTCTGGAAATGGAGACTCTCTCATGTGTCTTCTTTTGAGGTAAAGGCAATTTTTCATCGCTCTTCAAATTAACTTGGACATGGGATGGTGCAGGTGGAGACTTTCCCGTGGAACGAGATCGCTTCTGTGACAGTGTAGAAACTATAGGGTTGAAGTTCACAAGTTTTTTCCATCTCCTGTCTCTTTTTAGCCTTCTTCCAGGTGTCAGACATCTTGTTAACCAAGACTACAGAGGGCATCTATCCTCTAGTGTACAGAGAGTTGGTCCACACTTCCATCAGGTCAAGTGCGACCCCCAGAAACCTTGTACTTCCTGCACTCTATGCAGGCTGAAGATGGTGAGGGAGACACCATTCTTCCCTTGACACTTCATAAAGGTATTACTTACGTGATCAAACCTTAATCAACCAAAAGTAAGATACTAAGTATCTATGACTGTCACTAGAAAGTAGAAACCATAGATTATCTACTGTGAATGAGTGATGGAGTGAGTTGGGTTTAACACTGCTTTGACCAGTATTCCAGTTATATCACATTATGATAGCTTATTGTGGGAGGAAAGCCTGAAGTGATGTTAGATGTTTACCACTTATATGAAACCCACAAGCACGGTTATCTAGTTGACAAACCTATTCTGGGCCTCTTAAATGGCACAGACATAACCTGGAATTTGAATACAGAGGCTGACTAAGACACAAAGAAAAAGGATTCAAACAAACAATTACCGGGTAGCTTAAAATTTCTTTGACTTTGAAAAGGATATTACCTCTGACAGCTGACTTTGCAATGCAGTTTGCTCCTTTTGGGTTTTTTCAGTCGTGAGATGAAGAATCTTTTGTAAATCTTCAATTTCCATCTGGAAAACAATGAGTTAATTGTATTAATGCCTTTTAGGTACAGTGTGACCTATCCAGATCTTGACTGCCTCTTTCACAATACACTGTCTGAGAGGGACCCATATCAATGGTCATTTAATGAATAGTTCATTATTGATCCGCAGTAAGTAAAAATATAATGCATACTATCTTCTCCTTGCAGTAGCTGCAAAAAAAGCCACACAGGAGAGGTTTACAGTCAGACTTCTTCGAGACTGATTAATTTCACAACTTAACACATTTTACCTCCAAACAAAATGTCTAAAGTGTGAGTATTTGGTTTGTTGTTTAACGCCTCACTCAGCAATATTCCAGCTATATGACAGAGGTCTGCAAATAATCGAGTCTGGACCAGAAAATCCAGTGATTAATATCATGAGCATCGATCAACGCAATTGGGATCGATGACATGCATCAACCAAGTCAGCGAGTCTGACCACCCGATCCCGTTAGTCGCCTTTTATGACAAGCAGAGTCGCCTTTTACGGCAAGCATGGGTTGCTGAAGACCTATTACCCCAGAATCTTCACAGGTTCAAAGAGTGAGTAAGGGGACGGAAGTGGTGCAATCTAGGGCTGGGACGGGTAACTCGGGTACTCGGGTCGGGTGGGTCCTGAGTAGGACCCGGGTACCCAGAGGTCTAACCGGACCCGTGGTTAGTCACGTGGTATATTGTTTAATGTAAAAAACTCACCATAGCTTAGTGGTTACACTACAAGTCGCTAATGTTCGCATTTCTTTTTGACGATGCACACATTCCTTTTGACTTGTATATGTTTGAGTAAAGATAAAGCTTCAGTCAACTTCAGTGAATGCATGATCTGATTGTTTGATACATGTATCTAAATAGTTTAAGTTGGGGCTGCGGTAAAACAATTAACAATCAAACATTTTGTTCCCAACTCTTGAGACTTGCAGTAGGTACCCTGGTAGGGTCGGGTAATAGAGGATCGGGTACCTGGGTAGGGTCGAGTAATAGGGGTCGGGTAATAGGGGTCGGGTACCCGGGTATTAAATTTGGACTCGTCCCAGCCCTAGTGCAATCATGTACAGGCTCATCTGTAGTAAACTAAGCATTTGACTGATATAACTAATATACAGTAAACTACGGTTATAATGATCTCAAAGGGACCCCAAATTTTAATTCATTATAACCATAGATGGTTATAAGCATATGTACAGCATTTATACAACAAATGGACGGGACCATGAAATAATTTGTTATATCCGTTGTATATTCATTGTAAGAGTGTTTGTCATAATGTAGTTTACTGTACCCTCATTTTCTTCTTGTCTGCTAGGAAGCTGGCCTCCAGGCGAGACTTCTCCTGAGTCAGGGTTGCCAGAGAGGAGGACAGAGTGTGGATCTGTGTTGTCTCATCCTGGCTCTCTCCACTGGTCTGCAACACATCATCAGCACAGAAATAGTAGCTGCTGTTAACACAAGGCAATGCCCAAACCGGTTGCAATGATTTACCAAATGTTTTGGCATTGAGATACACTCTGCCATAACACCAGTTTTGTATTATGAGGTGTGTACGGACACATAACAATACATGTACATAGCATAAGGGTCATATGGATAATTGCATGAAATTTAAAGTAAAATTAAATGAATTTGGTTGGTTGGTTGGTTGGTTTGTTGTTTTACGCCGCACTCAGCAATATTCCAGCTATATGACGGCGGTCTGTAAATAATCGAGTCTGGTCCAGACATTCCAGTGATTAATATCATGAGCATCGATCCATGCAATTGGGATTGATGACATGCATCAACCAAGTCAGCGAGCCTGACGACCCGATCCCGTTAGTCACCTTTTACGACAAGCATAGTTGCCTTATATGGCAAGCATTGGTTGCTGAAGACCTATTCTACCCCGGAATCTTCACGGGTCAAATGAATTTGGATATTCATGATTTCAGCGTACTTATCCTGACGCAACACGCAACAATTTCTGCTCTTCAATCATATAAAACAGAACCCCAGACAGGCCTTTTCTTTGTGTGAATTTCCAAGTGCCAGTGGTTACCAATCAGATTTATCTGTCCTTGATATCTCATTGCCTCCTCATCAGCATGTAACTTGATATACAGAGGGGGTTGGTTGGTTGGTTTATTGTTTTACACCGCACTCAGCAATATTCCAGCTATATGACGGCTATATGTCTGTAAATAATCGAGTCTGGACCAGACAATCCAGTGATTAATGTCATGAGCATTGATCCACGCAATTGGGATCGATGACATGCATCAACCAAGTCAGCGAGTCTGACCACCCGATCCCGTTAGTCGCCTTTTACGACAAACATAGTCGCCTTATACGACAAGCATGGGTTGCTGAAGACCTCTTCTACCCCGGATCTTCACGGGTCTCGAGAGGGGGGATATATACCGGTAGGGGGGTCTGAGGCTTCTTGTGTCAAGACAAGTATACCAATATCATAAATATCCAAATTTGTGTAAAACATTTCTTATCCTGACACATCACATAAGTCCTTTGTCGCCTCTTACAACAAACATGGGTTGCTGAAGACCTATTCTAACCCAGATATTAACTAGTTGTATGGTCGAACTGAAAAGGTCAAATCCAGTTTAAAATTTAAAATACTGTTTTGGCCATGACCATAAGTAGATTCAAATCTCTTGAACATCATTGGTGGGAGGAAGCTTGGAAAGGGGCAGCTACATTGATCCTGTGGTTTCTATGGCAATGATGTTTACAGTAAGAGGAAATGCATTTTGAGAGAAATTAGTAGGTTGGTCAAAGGTGAAAGGTCAAACATGTACTTCTGGCACTCTAGCTGCAGTAGCTAAGGCCAGCAGGGATGCAGTTTTCGTCCAGACCCCTAGAACTGTAGCTTTTGTAAGGGTCTCATGAGGTGTGTGTCAACAATACTGTATTACAATAGATAGATTTCAAATAAAATGTATATGTTGGGTTACAGCAGGTTCATACCTAAAGCAATTAGACAAACTTTTGACGAGAAGATATGTGAGGTAAACATATATATCCTAGTTCCTATAATCCCTATCAGCAAGTATTAACAAGGTGCAAAGAATTGCTACAACACTAGTTTAAAACTCCACAAATTATGGAGAGCGGTGCATTGCGAGTACATGTATCAGCTCATGAAGGAGCTTGGAGCATGTGCAGCAGCGACAGAGAATGTATTCCTTGTGCATCATGCAAGGGTGACTTGCACAGTTTAAATACAGTCTACAAAGAGTTCAGGTTTATTTTTCACATATTTTCAACAAGAGAATGTTCTGTCAAAGTGTAAAAGTAGGAATGTGTTTTAAGTTGGGAAATATCCTCTAACTCTCCATTCCTAAAAAAATAATGGGCCTGGGCTCTAGTATATTTAAGGAATGGAGAGTTTCTTGGACATTCCCCAAACCGCCAAAATTATGTCATATAGCCATTTGAAGTTATAAAAATATCACTTGTCTGGGTGATTCTTAACTGTTCACCATGAACCCCTTATACTTCAAGACCAATCTTGGAAACCCCTAACAGTGAGGTATCTGTGTGTAGCAGGGCGTGGAGTCGTCCCACAGATGACATCCTTACCTTGTCAGCTTGCTGACGGGGTTAACCTCTTTGGTCATCTGGACAAGGCGTCCGACCTCGGTCAGAAGGTCCGTGGTTTGAATCCCATCACAGGACTTGGAAATTTTAAGGCCGTTACATTGGCGCCCAACATGGGGCTGAGCACGTTCATATTGAATTTGAGCAAAATAAGCCTCAGTACCCTACTATCGACCCGGGACGTGCGTTCTGTTGATGGGGGAGTATGTAGCAGGGCGTGGAGTCGTCCCACAGATGACATCCTTACCTTGTCAGCATGCTGACAGGGTTAACCTCTTTAGTCATGTGGACAAGGCGTCCGACCTCGGTCAGAAGGTCTGTGGTTCGAATCCCATCATGGGACTCAGAAATTTTATGGCCGCTACATGTGGAGAGAGCAGACCCTGGGCAGTAATCTCAATACAGACAATGAAAGGCCAGGAGGAAAAAACAGAAGACGTAGTAAACAAAATAGAAAAGAAATAAACAGAAGAAGAAAAAAGAAACCCACACTCATTGAGGAACCTGACCTGACTGAAGAGTGTGAGGAAACTTTCCCCCAATTCTAAATACATGTTCGAGATCCTTAGGGTATAACCTGTGTGACTGCATACTAGAAACTCATGTGATATTTCTGATATGACATAACCGACCAACCGGTCAGGACATAAGCTCACCTGACTTTCAGTCAAGTGAGTTAAAAAGGAGTACTCACACTGGATGCCTGATCAGCTGCAACCTGGCCTGACTGGAGGGGATCAGTGAAGTCACTGGGATCAACACTCTTTCTGGGGGCGACAGACAGAACCTTCAAGCTGGCCTCAAGAGCCTCTTTCTCCTTAACAAGTCCTTTGTAGGCCCTAACAACATCTGTAGAGAAAACAATATTATCAGAAACACCATAGGCCATTGAATTCTGAAGACCATGAATTTGTTTGAGATCATTATACATCATGGAGAATAGTAACTGATCATATTTCAAATAATTTTTTAATGTTCAGTTAATACTAAATATACAGCTTTAACATTGAGTGAGTATGGTTTTACGCCGCTTTTAGCAATATTCCAGCAATATCACAACGGGGGTCACCAGCTTCTCACATTGTACCCATGTCGGGAATCAAACCCGTGATTAGGGAACGCTTTAACCACTAGGCATTTGCTTGATAACGGTGTTAGAATCTACACCGAAACGTCACCCAATTGTAATAAAGAAGTTGCTCATCCATAACAATTTTGTCTTAGTTACCATTCCAACTTCTAAATGCCACTCAAAGAAGTTGTATGTCTGTGATTGAATATTCTCACTTGCACCATCAACATGAACACAATGAAAGATACACACTAGTTTGTTTATTGTGTATTTGTTGTTTAACACCACACTCAGCAATATTCCAGCTAAATACGGCAGTTGGTAAATAATCGAGTCTAGACCAGACAATACAGAGCTTGACATCATAAGCATTGATCCACGCAATTGGGATACGATGACAAGCATCAACCAAGTCAGCGAGCCTGACTACCCGATCTCGTTTGTCGCCTCTTACGACAAGCATAGTCACTAATTATGGCAAGTATGGGTTGCTGAAGACCTATTCCACCACGGATCTTCATGGGTCAAGATACACACTAAAAACTATTGACTCCATACACACTTAAAACTAATGACTCCATGCATAAACTGACAGTCAACAACATTCTGTAGTTATCAATCAAAATACTTTAGCACCTATTTGACACGAATCATCTTCAAAATATATGAAAGATGGCTATCTGGAAGCCATATTGAAATTCAAATTTTGATGCCTTGAACAAACTTGAACTCCCTTATAGTAACAAGCATCATACATGACGAAAAACTTACGACAGAAGTTCACATGCCCTTTCGAGCCACCAGAAAAGGACAACTTAACATTTGATACGACTGGATGTTGTTATTGTTTGTTGTTTTACACCGCACTCAGCAATATTCCAGCTATATGACGGTGGTCTGTAAATAATCGAGTCTGGACCAGAAAATCCAGTGATTGATATCATGAGCATCGATCCACGCAATTGGGATTGAAGACATTCATCAACTAAGTCAGCGAGCCTGACCACCCGATCCCGTTAGTCGCCTTTTACGACAAGCATAGTCACCTTTTACAGCAAGTATGGGTTGCTGAAGACCTATTCTACCCCGGAATCTTCATGGGTCCGATGATATGACTGGAGGTCAATGGAAGTGACAAATGGCTTTTGTCCAGGTGAACAAAAAGCAAAGGTATCTTCATCAGAGTCTTAGATGATATCTGTGGATCTGTTTTGTTCTGTTATTATATAATATTCTGTAGACCTGAGGTACACAGCGGCAGAGCGCCCACCTGGAGAGGGAAAGGTCTAGGGTTCTATCCTTGGATACGTCATGCCAAAAGACGATAAAAAATGGTACCTGTTGTTAGCCTGTCTGGCGCTTGGCATTAAAGGGCTAAAACATGGACTGGTTGGCTCAGAGTCAGTATACTTTGTCTGAGTGGGGTATTCATGTTACACTGTGGCAAGTTATCTCACTTGGCTAGAGCTATAATATCTGCATTAGTATGCACTAGTACAAGCAGTCACACACATACACACATGCGCATGCACGTCAATTTATAAGCGCAATAATCTCGGATGCGACTTTAAACCCCATTTCAGCTCACCTCACCGCACTCTGGATTCCTACTGGATCCTACAGTACTCTGTACATCTGATGTACCTACCCCGTAGTTTGGATTCATATTTCTTGATCTGTTCCTTCTGTGATTCTACAATGTTCTGAAGGTCTGAAGTGGTTGGTCGTTCCATTGGAAATTGGCTTCAAAGCTTCATTTCCCTGCACTACAAAAGACAGAAAAAAGTGTAAAATGTTTTGCAGCTAACCTGCATCGTATATAAACAATCGTACAAATAATATCGTATAATAAATCTTAAGTCATCAGAATGCTTGCAAGCAATGCTACAAGAGAATATCAATAGTAATCATTGTTAATATTTCTAAGAATTCTAGTTAATATGTTGGTTTACATTGCACTATACAAATCTTTTGGATTTCCAACAGAAGTCCTCTTCACTGTCAGCCGGGGCGGTTGGATAGCCTAGTGGTTCAAGTGTTCGCTCGTCACGCTGAAGACCCGGGTTCGATTCTCAACATGGGTACAATGTGTGAAGCCCATTTCTGGAGTCCTATGCCGTGATATTGCTGGAATATTGCTAAAAGCGACGTAAAACCATCCTCACTCACTCACTCACTGTCAGCTGACCCTAATTAGCTGTGTTTTCCTTCACCACTGTTCTGCGCATGTACCAGGTGCAAAAACTTTCCTTTATTCAAATAATGCCACATCCAACTAGATGCACATAAATGGGCAAGGTGGGTGGGATTATCACTGATGTAACAGAGGTAGTATTCTTAGAATTATTAACGAGGGTAACTAGTGTTTGATAATTCCTGCACACACCATGCCTCTATTACATCATTGGCAGAAAAGCCAGAGGACTGGTGGGTTCTGACACCTAGTAATCCTTGGAGAGCTGACTGCAAATCCTTATTTATAAGCCACCATGAAGTATTATCAGAACATAACCTCTGAAAGGCCCTATTCAGAGATAAACCTTCTGTGTTTTGAAATTTGATGTAGTCACAGTATGGATAATATACCTCTTACTTTAATTTGAAACCTAGCGCTTTAGAGTGGGGTTCCAAATTTATAAATATAAGTACCGTATTCGACGTAATAAGCACCCGGGGCGCTCTCAAAATTAGAAATAGGGGGCTCTTATTAGAATATGTTTTATGGGGAAAAAAACATAGTTGAAAGATAAATTTCATTGTTTATGCTGACTGTGCGTATTATATCGAATAAATAAGTCTTGTGTACATTGATCAATCGGAAGGGATGCAAATTTGGCTTGTTCACTGGCCAATATATCAGCAAATATCGCCGTGGGCGCTTATTAGAGCAGGGCGCTTATTACGTCGAATACGGTAAGAACAATGAGTCCACTGGGCTGATGGAAACAGGGAGTTGGTTGTTCAGATATGTTTGTTTGTTGTTTAACGCAGCACCCAGCAATATTCGAGCTATATGACGGCGGTCTGTAAATAATCGAGTCTGGACCAGACAATCCAGAGATATGTGGTATATATATACATCCAGCTGACGGGTGTCCCACAGTGATGTTTTCCACTTGAATATGTCTGATGGAGAGACCCTTTCCATGTTAAGATCGTGTTCTTCCCTGACACGTCTGCTAAGATGTTGAATTTTCCCGCGATATGTGGGGACTCCATCCTGCATCTGATCAACTCTGCCAAGACAAACAAAAGTGTAGTCCCCTTCAACAAACTCTTGATCTTGCTCCCCCTTTCTTCTGGTTATACGCAACCACTGTGGTAGAATCGATGACGGTATCAGGTGATGTTTCCATGTCATGAGTCCATATCAAATTGCTCGCATTTCGAGGCTGTTTATGTAGAGCTTCTTCTCATGGTCTAGCCAGCTTCCACATACTGTTACACTGTCTATGTGAGCTCCCATCCTAACTGGATGTGTCTGTGAACAGGTTGTGTTCAGGCGCAGGGAATATGAGGGGAATTCTTGTCATCACTAAGGTGCCAGGTTCTCCGATCTCATTGAGTTCAACCAAACTTGGAGGGGTCGTAGCTGAAATTTTTCTCTCAAGGTTAGATCCTGCATAGATGCTACTGTCCACTCCTAGGCATGACATCAACCCGTGAATTGACTTGTCTGTATGATCTTTAACGTGTATGATCTTATCCTCGTTTTTTATGAAGCCCTGGTGTAAAAAGAATAATGATCCTATACACACACGAGACCATGCACTGGCTTGGTCTCAAACTGTATTTCATTTGTTGATCAATGTGAGGATACCCCCTTAACTATCAATAAAAGCAACAAATTTATGAGCTTATGGGTTTGCACATCACAAAGTCGTGACCTATTTGAGATTTCTCGAATATCATTTGGGTATCAACAGGAAAAAAACAATAACAAAGGCAACAACCAGTCCCGGTGAATTGTCAGAGTTCAGTGCCCCTTTAACTGTAACCTCGTAAGTGTCCAACAGTCCATCACCACTTTGTCCCTCTCGTTCATTTCCGTAATGTCTTAGACAAGACGATAAGTAAATTTGCACACAAATTTGTACTTAGGTTAACAGTATGGAGGTGGATCTATCGTTAGGCGTTCGGGCTATAAACAATCCCAAATCGTAAGTTTGAATTTGTTGCTTGTCTTAGTGACATATGTGACCTACGGCAGAGATCGTCTTCACGACAAGGTGCTCTGGCCGTGTGTATGTTTGTATGTGTGTGTGTTTGTGTGTCTGTGTGTGTGTGTGTGCGTGCGTGCGTGCGTGTGATGCCTCCACAAATTCAGGGTAGACCCTTGTCATTCTTACTGTCGGTTTACTTTGCTGCAGTTATCTTCATATTTTCACATAAACATACCTATTAGAGACTGTTTAATTAGTGAATTACAATGCCAATGACAGGTGAGTTTGGCATTTGTATCACGGTATACTCCACAACAACAAACTGGGCCTAAGACTACCGCGGAAATGCAGTCCGAAGCTGAACAGGCGACAGCCTTTGTTCAATGACACGACCATCTTTCTGTTTCCAGCAGTACTGTAATAATAAAATGTTCAGAGCTTCTTAACCATCTACATTTCAATTTGTCGGACATGGCATATTTATTTACCTCCATGCCAGTTCAACGTGGCAGCCTTGTTTTGGTTATGAATGACGGCGAATTCAGCTGCGACTGATCTTGTAATCTCGCCCGATATGACAATGGCAACCGTCACATCTTGCTTTTTGAAATTATGTACTGTATCGATATATAGATGACTAAACTAAATATAGCTATTACGTTTGGAAATACACGAGTTATAATAAAAAACGATGTCTAACGGGGAAGAGTGTAGTTATAACTAAGTACTCACGTAAACTTTGCACATCTAAATTAATTTTACGTTGGTACACGGATGGCGTATATATATAGAATACTGAACGGGCTTCCGTGTAATACCACTTGTAGGAAACGAGTGATTAGTTCTGATATCTAACGAGCGATAGAGTCAGATACCAGAAATATTCACAAGTTTCGTAAAACTGGTATTACACGGGGGCGAGTTTAGTATTTTATTTATTACCAGTGTTCGAAATACCTGCCTGCCCGACCGTCCGAGACGGGTTGAGTTCAACTCGGGCTGCCAGATTTTCAAATTCCCCTGCCCGACGGTCGGGTTATATTTCATTTGTAAAAATATTCTAAATATTTCCCGATGATAAGCATTATTTACATGATGTATTCTAGGATATTAAATACAAATCTGACCTAAAAGTGTTTGTTATTTCTTTTCTTGCATTACTTCATGTTCAATGAATTCGATTTAAAGTTTTAATTAAATTATCCCGAGAAACATATGATTATAGTGGGCAGGCAGGTTTTGGTCAGAGCTGGCAAGTTTATCTCTTTTGTGGTCTGGCTGAAAATTTGGGGAGTTTCATACCCTGTAAAAAATATTACTTGTTGTTTATAAGAAAAAAAATGATTTCACTGTCATGTGTGAATATACCAGAGAACATACATCGGTATATGGTCTCTGGAGTATGCGCAGACATCTACCCGATCCACAGCTCACTCCAATGATGGTCCCTCGTATTAATTAACCATGCTCCATCTGGGTTTAACAAAATAAAACTTCAAACACGTGAAATGTTTATATTTATTAATTTAAAACCATTCAACGGCCCACCTTTACAAATTCAGCCGTCTGTTCCACAAAGATGTCGTATCGCTAAAGTTATCACAACTCCCATATTAACACTCAACTTTCAGTCGTCTAGCCGGCGCCATTTTAATTAGCCCGCGTAATCACCAGAAGCCAATGAGGGCCAGCCACTTGGGCTGGGACGGGTAACTCGGGTACCCGGGTCGGGTGGATACTGAGTAGGACCTGGGTACCCACAGGACTACCCGGACCCGTGGTTAGTCACGTGATATATTGTTTAATGACAAACATTATCTAGAACTCTATGGTAACACTACAAGTCACTAATATTCGCATTTCTTTCTGATTATGCACCCATTCCTTCTGATTTTTCATATGGTTGAATAAAGATATAACTTAATTCGACTTCAGTGTATGAATGACCAGGTTGTTTAATACATGTATCTAAATACGTTTTGTCAGGGCTATTCTAAAAAATGTTCCCAATCGGAGAATTTGAGACATCTCCTAGAGACCTACAGTAGGTACCCGGGTAGGGTTGGGTAATAGGAGGGTGGGTACCCAGGTGGTAAATTTGGACTCGTCCCGGCCCTACCAGCCACCAAACAAGTGGGCTTTTGATCAGAGAGGGGCCAACTGTAAAACCTCGTTGACAGCGAGGGGTATTCCCCTTGAATGCTCGCATTTGAGTGGATGATGCTTACTATGAACTTTCACCTTGCAAATTCATCTGCGTGAGTAAATGTGTATGTACAATTACGTAATCTGGTATACAGAAAATACGTGAACGTGTTTTTGTTTTTTTGTAACAATGGAATTCAGTTCATATGCTCAACAGCAACGACCCTTATTTTTCAGGCAAATTGCACATAATACAACAATTACTACTCCCTTCTTGTGATCCATGTTTCATGGTATAAACCCACCAGCTCTGTATTTGTCGTCATTCACTTGATGCTCAGTTACTGACTTTATTACAGGTATAATTAGTGGTAGAACTACTCAGATTACCCGACAATGACTGCACAATATCTCAATAACGTTCACCACTGCCTATGAGGGTCTCAAGGTAATAAAGCACTCAGTGGTTCGCATTGTGTCTGTGGTAATTATTTCATCTACGACTGGGTTATATATCCACATCTGATATGGTGAAAGTATTACATGTTATGTAATATGCACGTGGCAGCGCAGCAAGAGAGGAATGATCAGTAGAGTGATCAGCAAAAAAACCGATCAGTTTGACATATATATTTATCATCCAAAACTGCCTCCCACAGGAGATATCGCTTGGATGAGATCAAGCGATATCTACACTGTAGATATCGCTGCAATGCTATTACATCACAATGCTTTGCAGGCCATAGTGACGTCACTGGTTACCATGACGTCACAATCAAATGACATCACTAATGGCTCTGCTACTGAAGCTATTAACAGTACTTTCTACACTTAAGACACTGCTAATTACTGTCTACAAATTAAAAAAGTTGGAAGAATGATGTTGGATGATAAACCAAATCTCACCCTCGTGTCTTTTGATATGAAATATATCAACACTCGTTGATAAAAATGGCAAAAATCCTCGGCAAGCCTCGGAATGTTACCACTGTTATCAACTCGTGTTGATATATTTGATATCAAAAGACACTCGGGTGAGATTCTATATATATATATACGATTGCCTTGTGGAAAATGGCCCTGTTTAGAATCACGTCACGATGCCCTACTCGATTATTTACATACCGCCGTCATATAGCTGGAATATTGTTGAGTGCGGCGTTAAACAACAAAGAAGCAAACAAACAACCAAGAAAACAAGCAATAATTGTTAGTGAAGAGGGTTCCTTCAGTACATAGGCACGCTCTTTGGTAACATACACTGTGTAACACAGCTGTATGTTTATTAAACGGTTGATCTCTTCACAGGCGCCCACATGGGTACAATGTGTGAAGCCCATTTTTGGTGTCCCCCGCCGTGATATTGCTGGAATATTGCTAAAAGCGGCGTTAAACCATACACATTCACTCACTCATTCTTCACAGGCGAGAATAAATAATAAATCAAACATTCGTAGCTAATGATAGACTGCCGAGGAAATACAACTTGGTCATATAATTTTAAGTGCTCTCGCGCATTTTCTAGTTATGGCGTCTGCTTTAGTGATATAAGCATGGGCATGTGAAGGACTTGCCGAGACCAGGACATGCACGGATGACCAGAGCCAGTGAGGTCAGGGTCATCACTGGCATCCCTACAACAGTGTCCCTTAGGCGTCAGGCGTCGACTGAATGCAGCAGGATTAACCCCCTGGATGCCACAGGGACATATATGTCCCTCCTCTACAACCCTCACTTTGAAGTCGAATAAAGTTCAAAATACATCTCCCACACAAATACACTTCACAGTTTTGAATAAGGTGGGGAATTCCCTGTTCTGTGATATCACTGGCATTTTAGGTCAAGCAAAAGTACTGAAAATGATCTCTGAAAATTAGGTACATTGTAAATGTCGCCATTTTTTAGAAAAAAACCTCGGCATCCAGAGAAGGGCCAGAAGACCAATATAAGACGCCCACTCCCCTCACCCAACAAATGCGGGGCCGTTAGCCTCGTGCCAGGTTCAAGCACACTGGAACTTCAGGTCATAGAGGAGGATTCATTGATCTGACAAGAGTCGGTTTTCATTGCATCACACTGATGGTAGGACTCTGGATGCAAAGGGGAACATCTTATCATCAGCGCAACATCCAGGAACAGTGGCACGTGGTGGCGGCTCAGTGGCGGTATGGGGATGTTGCTTCTTCGATTATAAACTTGATTTGGTCACAGTTCAGGAGACATTAAATGGACAAAGGTACCAATATATCACAATGAACGGTTATGGTTATCTTTTTGATAACCATGCTCTTGCTACACGTCCTGTCTTCACGGACGACAATGTCCGACCCCGAGCTGGGACTGACCATCTCCAGAACTCTGAGACTCTGCCTTGGCCCTGGGACGTAGGGTTAGACCCAGGGACCCTCCAGTACAAAACCTCACAGAAGTGACCCAGGCATTGCATTAGGAATGGCAACACATCACTCAGTTGAGGATCAGGCGTCTGGTGTGGGCATGATATGTCTTGCGGGTGGGATCCGTGTTCGGGGTGGCTACACCAGATATTGACTAACACAGTTGATCATTTAACTGTGACATGGGTACAGTGTTACTAATTCCTCACAGTTATCATACTTATATTGTCTCTATTTATCCCGAATTGCACTTCTTGCAGTCGCTGTCGAATAGAGTTGTGGTTTTTTGTTTGCAAATGCTCATTCCTCCTATAATTCATAAAAATAACATCTTATCTGACACCAAGTCACACTTTTGATTGCTTTTGTTTGACGATGAAGCTAAATTGTGTACGGTTCAGCAACTAATTGGTCTCAACCCAGGAATTGTCCAAGCTGTTGATGTGGCAGTTTGATATCGATTCCTTTGAATATTGTTGTCTTGTTGACGTGACGGCCGTAGCAAGTCATGAGTGTTGCACTGCTGTAGATAACGTATCCAAAGAGATCTTATTGTGTTTCGATGAACATTAAAATGTCTGGCAACTTTGTTTTGAGTGATTCCTGTCTGCAGCATACCCACGACTTGTGGACGTTGGTTTTCCGCAAGCCGTGACATTGCATCAGCGTTATTTAAGGTTAAACAAAAGTGTTTTGTCACTGCCTGTCAGCTGAACAATCATTGCGTGCTGTTCACAGCAAAAGCTATGTGTGTGAGTATCATCCTCCCAAGAAACACACAGATATCCAAAGTGTGTGCCGTGCATGAACATGCACGTGCAAATTGTGAATCACGACCTTGAAGTCGAGTAGAATATGTATTGAAAGATGCATTATTTAATTTCTGAATAAGTATAATTTTATACAACTTTATAGAAAGCAGATACTTTTTTCCGTTACAATATTTCTAAAACCATGTGTTATTTTCGACTATTCCCTCTTTTTTTAAAAGTTATTCCACAAATGATCTTTTATTGTTTCCTTTT